ATAATAATAATAATAATAATAATAATAATAATAATAATAATAATAACAACAACAACAACAACAATAATAATATAAATAATAATAATAATTATTTTTATTATTGTTAAAATTATTATTATTATTACTATTATTATTATTTTATTATTATTATTATTATTATTTTTATTATTAAGAATGCTAAGTATATTTTGCTACTACCAATATTATTAGGACTTTCATTGCTATTTATACACATTCCTCTTTTCACTCGTGTGCTGTTTATGTTTTCTGTTTACCATGTGTTGTATGTTCTGTGTTGTGTTTACCGTTTGTTGTATGTTATGCACTCACAGTAATAAAAAAAGGTTTTAGACCACTTATAAATTAGACTATTTATCAGAAATTTGTCTGTAAATACTTATTTTTTTTAAACATGTATAAATACAAGTTAAAGTGACAGTAAATGCAGTTATAATGTTCTAAAAAGATTTATCTTTCAAATTAATGCTGTTTTCAACTTATTAAAGAATCATTATTTCCACTAAATAATCAATTGTACAAGTATTTTAACATTATTAATAATAACAGCTTGAGCTGCAAATGTTGATCGGAAAAATGTTATAAATATTGCAAAACCGAAAACATATCCTTTTAAAAATGTAAATAAATACTATTGTGTGAACTCTTGTGGCTGTAAAGGTTAGAAGAACTTGTTGTTTGTTAAAGTGATGATCTAAACCTGCTTCCTCTCTACTGAAACACTGGCTACATTAACATGGACATCAGTAATCGAATTTTTTGCCTTAATCTGAATAAGACATAATATGATTAAGGTGTTTACATAAGTTGCTTTTTGAATTTCGCTTTCATGATCCCGTTTTACATGTAATAGCACATAGTTCGATTAACGTCATTGCGTCACCGCACTATCCACATTTCCTGCAAAGTTTATGAAATTTCGAGTGTTTAATTTTTAATTTGTCGACTAACTGCAGTTAGGCACTTTTACTTTCATTTAGGAATATTTTAAGCATGACCCCCGTGACAAACAAGATATTCGATCCGAATATGCTGGAAGAGTGTAGATTTAATGAAATTTAATACTGCACACCATTTGGGAAAAAAACGCAGCATTTCGCAGTGCAGGTGTCTGCGGTCCTTTACAGACTCTGTAGGTTCAGAAAATAGTGTGAAACAGACAGAATATCCTGTCACAAAATGCAGAAAACATCCTACATGACAGTAATAGTTTGATTGCGGTGTTTACATGTCTGTGCAGCCTTTCAATAATGCGACTGAAATCGGCATACTCCACATGTCTTAATCTAATTTCTGTTTAGTATGACTATGACCTTAATCGGATTAAAATTAATCATAAATCGCTGTTTACATGGCAGACTCTTAATCAGAGTATTGTCTTAATCGTATTAAAATTATTTATTGGTGTCCATGTAAACATCCTAACTGTCAGCATTAGAAAAACTGACTACATTAATCTAACAAGTGTGTTTTTAACAAGCATAAATGATGATGCTACAAAAATTGCTTACTTAATATGACATTCATATATTTGGATGCCCGTGCTGAAACAACAGAAACTTAAATTAATACCATTATAAATAGCATTAAGTACATTACAAACCATCAAATCGTACTCATTGAAACCAGCTTTACTTCACAATTGTCTCTAATATGTTCTGGAACATACTCCATTAGGGTTTTTTTTGGTTTTATCATGCAACCAATAGAATTCAATTTAAGTTTATTTCCAAACTTTTTGACAATAATTATTGCTTTAAAGCAGATTTACAAAGAGTGCACAATATTGCATTACAATCAAATTCAGAAAAACTTAGGTTATTAGTTACCAAAACTTTATTACTTACTTACTTACTTCCAGGGCCATTTATATTGAAGTTGATATTTAGCCGCACCATATTGGTGTTTCGTAACATCTGTTTTTTTATGAGATGCGTTGTTAGCCCAATGCTCAACCCTTAACCTGGAGGACCAGGACATACACACAAACACTACCGACAATTTAGCTTACCCAACTCACCTACAGCGCATGTCTTTGGACTGTGGGGGAAACCAGAGCCCCCGGAGGAAACTCCACGCCAACACGGGGAGAACATGCAAACTCCACACAGAAATGCCACCTGGCCCAGCTGGGGCTCGAACCAGCGACCTTCTTGCTGTGAGGCGACAATGCTTTCCAATATTCCACCGTGTCGCCCATACCATATATTTATTAGATACTAATCATTTTGACTAATGAACTAATAACTGTAGCAGTTAAGGTTGCATAGTTAACCTGCAGTTATACAGCATATAGGTTGTCTATGTGTACATTATCAGTGAAGTAAAAAGAAGGCAAACAATAACCAGTAGAAACCCTTAGAACCAATACGGTAGTTTCCACTAAATATAATTATGATATATAGATAGAATATAATTTCCATTACAAGTTCTATGATCATTTCCATTGTGTATTTTCAGCAGGGCTTGAACTGAGTGTGTTTTGAAAATTCAGCAGTCTGGACAGTCCAGAAAGCAGCCACATTGCACTAGTAACCTGAGCCCGTGTGTTTCAAAGCCCAGCTCACCGCCTGTCCCCTTGGGTGAAAATTACCCTCAACTCTGACCCTGCACAAGCTGGTAGAAACAACACAACCCCCCCACCCCCCATGTGTGGACGGCTGCATCTGGGGTTGCATTACCTCATCTGTGAAGTCTGCCTGCCTGCAAATCTTAAACTATTCGCTTGCTTCTTGTTTCTTGTCATAAAGAATTTTCTTTTAAAGGAGACAAACTTTTACTAAGGAAAAGAAAGAAGACTTAAGGGTAAGATCAAGGTTGACCTAGTTGCTTTGGATGATACCTATGCACATAAAAGTGATCTGTTAGAGATTTATTTACAGAAATGTTGTTGATATATATCTACAATGTAAAACCCAACAGTCAACTTTATCAAATGAAATGAGTGTAGTTAACTTAAAATATACTGAAAGTTCATTCTACTAATTTGAAAAGAGTTTTGCACTCAGTGTTAAAGGTAATAAGTTAATTAAATAACTCATTACTTCAACTTAAATTAAAAAGTTAACAGTACTCATATAGATAGTTTTTTAACTCAAAAGGTTTGTAGCAATCGGTTTCCTTAAGTTCCACTAACTTATTGGGTTTTACAGTACTCAGTTGGTTTGAGTTCTCTTCATTTACTGAGTTTTACTGTGCTCAGATTGCTTCATTTACTCAAATGGATTAAAAATGTAGTAGGTGATTGTTTTTAAAAACATGTTTTGTTGTGCTGGTTGAAAGTCTCTTTACATTCAAATAGTGATGATTACAGTAAATGATCTAAATGTGTTCATATGTATTTATTTTTATATTCTGGATAAAAAGGAATAAAACTAAAAACTGTTCATCCAATTAAATATTGTCGGACCGACAAATAACTCAATTACGACAGGTATCTCAAACTATGTCAACAAATTAAATTTGAATTTCTGCGCAGCCTCTTTAAGCAGACAGATACGTCACTCGCGCTCACTTGTGAAGCACGCATCTACTGCTGACGGAGAGGCATCATCTGCAAACCATGCATCAACCTTAACTTAAATGATTTGCTGCAATCAGTGTCCTCAAATGGTTTGAGTTACCTTAACTTTTTGGGTTTTACAGTGCATCATATATAGATTTAGTAGTATATTTTAGTGCTGAAATGTTTGGTATTTCACATATTGTTTTTTTTTTCTTTGAGAAATTATTTGAGTCCACAATTTAGGACTGATGCCAATTTTTTATTAGGAATTTTTATCCAAATTTAATTATAACCATTTGGTGAACAACGCTTCATTTTGTACATAAAAACATTTTGTACATGAATCATCTAAACATTTGCATATTATCAGATAATATTACTAAAATTAATATAAAATCTGAATAAATATAAAATTACACACATTTAAATGAGTAAATAATTAGATATCTTTTTGAGTCCATCATTGAGTCCATCATTCAGCAGTTTTCTTTGGAGACACATATTTCATGTGGGTCTATTATGAGCTACTTAAGATGTTATTACTTAATATATATATATATATATATATATATATATTTAAAAAGGTTTTCTTCTTTAATACATGCATGTGGCTGTCTGAATACTCAGTTACCTAAATGTGAAAGTGGAAGTCCCCTAAAGTGTGCAAACCCAGCAGGTTGGCAGGTGAGGGTCTGCGTGGGCAAGTATATGGTTACTAAGTGGTTTAAGCCCCTAAGGATGAAAATAGGTTTACTAAAGCCTGTAGTGATCTAGACCCAGACAGAAGACTAATGCTGTACCCTGTCACCCCAGTCATCACTCCTGGCCTGCACGCTCACCTCAACCATTGTTAAAAATACCTTTTATTCACTGCACAATAAGTACATTTACTCTAAACAACAATAGATAAGACATTCATTATTGCCTACAAAAATGCTCGTATTGTATGCCAAAACTACAATGAAAGTTGTAAATAAAATAATGGGATAAAAATTTTTTTTCAGATTTCTTCCAACTAATTATTCACTTCAAGTTTATTTGTGTAACACTTTTCACAATAACCACACAATTAAAGAAATAGGATATTCTTGCAAAATATGCTCCAATAACATTTAATTTACCACTGAAATATAATGTTTTTTACAGTGTGTCACTATTGTATACTATATTTTTCATTCTATTTATTATTTACATAATTAAGTTACTATTTGCATCAATTTAACTTCTGTAAATAGTAACTTAATATTTATCCTTGTATTTATAGTTATCATATTAAATGTAAAAAAAAAAAATAAAAAACATTAGTACTTTAGTATATTTTAATATTGAATTAGTTATGCTGTAAAAATAATAATAACAACAACAACAATGATTATATTTGAATAATATAGCAAATAAAATGCTAAAATATAAACACAAACGATCTAAGAAATGAAAACAATACCAGAAGTTAGATGATGAATAATTTGTCACTTACGGTAAATGTGGGGGCTGGACAAGGCTGTGAAAACACAAAGTACTGGGTTGCCAGGTTTATATAAGCGTTGCGGTAGGAAGTGATTTTGCTGTGACCCTGGACAAGTTTATAGAGCTCCAAGCACATCAGTCCTGCGATTGCAGCCGTTGTCGTGGCAATTGCTGGAATGATGCGGCCTGCGATCAACTTGCTCTGCAGATCAGACATAAAAGTTGCAGATATTATTTACAAGCATGCATGTTCACAGTATCATTCATTGATTCCTTTTCGGCTTAGTCCCTTTATTAATCAGGGGTCGCCACAGCGGAATGAACCGCCAACTTATCCAGCATATGTTTTACACAGCAGATGCCCTTCCAGCTGCAACCCATCACTGGGAAATTTATTTAATGTCATGTCAGCAACCAAAGCTATTTTCTTGGCAAGAACAGTAATAGATATACAGTTAAAAATAACTAACAAATAAAAACATGAATAAAATGAGCACGGTGGCTCAGTGGTTAGCACTGTTGCCTCACAAGAAGGTCACTGGTTTGAGTCATGTATATAGGGGGGGGGGGGGGGGGGGGGGTAATAATTCAGGAGGGCTAATAATTCTGACTTCAACTGCAGGTGCAGATAAGTCATCTAAACCTACTAATGGAAATGTGGTACGAGCAAAAAATAGTATCAAGAATGGAAATCAACAGTATAATCAAAAGGTCTTTCCTCAGGGTTGTTCTGTATGTGTTCAGGAACTGAGGACACAAACCCCCAGAGGGGAATGTTGATCACTTTAGACTTCAGTCTCACAAACAAAAGCACAGCGGAGTTGTTTGAAAAAGACAATAGAGATTTACTTTGTGGCGGTCGGCTGTCGGTATATCATAGTTTTCTGCCCTCAGGTTGGATGCTGCAACTATATAGTCCATATGGAAATTACTGTCATCATCCTGGAACATAAGAAAAGAAAAGAACAAGCGGTTATGAACAAACAACTACATTATTACAGGGACTGATACACAGGAGAGAGTTTGGACAGCACAGAACATTCTTACATATGATTGTCTGTGTTTACATACAGCAGATCGTGTTAATCATTTTTTTCTTTTTCTTTTTCTTTTGAGCAGTCGGACAGGTATATAGATACAGATTATATATAATCAAGGTCTGAGTATTTCTGAAACTGCTAATCTACTGGGATTTTCATGCACACCCATGTGTGATGCTATCATGTCAATTTGGACCAAAATCTCTGAAGAATATTTCCAGTATCTTGTTGAATCTATGTTACGAAGGATTAAGGCAGTTCTGAAGGCAAAAGGGGGTACAACCTAGTACTAGTAAGGTGTACCTAATAAAGTGGCCGGTAAGTGTATATGAGTGTGTGGGTGTATATATATCACTAAACTTGCTATTTCTTAATCAAAACAATAATAAAAGTAGTAATATTATTTTTATTACTTGTATTATTTATAATTATTCCTTATAATATATTACGTTTTTATATAAAATATTATTTCAATTATAAATATGTTTTCTATGTGAATATATTTAAAAATTCAATTTATTTCTTTGATTCAAAGCTGAATAATCTGCATTATTACTCCAGTCACACGACTTATATTATTGATTTTTATTCATTTAGTTTAAATAAATGGTTGGTCAGTAGAAGAGACATTTAAAAACATAAAACAATCATAATAATATGCTATTAGTTAAAACTTTACAATTTTTACAGTATGTGTTAGCATCTTGTTAGTCAACGCTAGCTAATGGCAAATCAGTTGTTCATTGTTAGTTCATGTAAACTCACAGTGCATTAACTAATGTTAACAAGCATGCAAATGGATGTGAATAATGCATTAGTAAATGTTGAACTTTAATTAACAAATGCTGGACTAGTATTGCTCCGAATTAGTTCCGTTATTAAATACATTAACTAATGAAACCTTATTGTAGAGTGTGACCACTGATTTTTAAGCCATAGTGACACTATGAGGATTTTCCAATAAGCATTTCAATTAGGGCTCCATGAAGGGTTATAACACGCATCATTTTGTTGACCTAAACTGTCAGCTATGGAAAACACCCTTTAATTGTCCATCAGCCAACTTTCACCTACCAACCATCTGTTCCTAGATAAAAACAATGGGGAAAGACCTGATGTGGATGATGTGTGATGCCAATTGTTATCTTTTACTGTTGTATGAGGAAAAACAAGAAGAATTTTTAAAAACAGGAACAAAATCAAGGCAACAGGTCTGTTTGTGCACGTTAATACAAAAGCTACTGGATTAAAACAATGTTACATCATCGCCGAAAGTTTCCAGTGCCTTTTGTATTTGTAAGTCATTTTCCCTGTACACCGTGACTTTAAATGAGATCACAAAACAGGTCATAAGTTCTCCAGATTGTATTTAGTGATCATTTTCAGCATATAGTGATTAAAAACCAAATAAATGCACATTATACAGCGCTGTGATATTAGATATTGCAGGAATGCTGGGATACCCTGGTTCAGAGGTTTCGGCACTCTTTTGAGGCCCCAGGCACTGCTTCACTACAAAGGCGGTGGAGTATTGGGTGTGTTGGCGCGTCTGCGGGGGTGTTTGAGCTCAGTATATAATTTGGCAACCTGATGCCACCAGAATCCCCCAAACACACATTCCACTGCAAAAACAAAACATCTGATCTGGTAAAGCATGCGTCATTGCTGAAAGCGTCCACACGTGCACATCAAGCTGGACATATGATACACGTATTTCTTATTTACACATAATGACAAACATAATAGTTTTAATAACTAATTTCTTGAAGCTAATTTCTTTTGTTTTGGACATGATGGCAGTAGATTATTTTTTATTTAGCAAAAGTCCAGTATTCATATTAATTTTGAGGTGCAATTTAAAGGCTGATAATTCTTGCGGACTTAACTTTTTTTAGTTGAATCAAGTGAACTTTTCTAGTCATCTCAGCTTACATCAATCAAACTGACTAAAAAAATTAAGTTAAACTTTGTATAACTTAAAATTTAGTTGAAACCTGATTAACTTATTAAAATAAGTTAAAGCAACTTAAAATCTGCCTGAATAAACTTGCCTAATTAACCTAATTTACCTAGTTAACCTATATGCTAATTAGTCAAGACATTAGACAACAGTGGTTTGTTCTGTTGCCAAACGAAAAAATACATTTCTAAAAATATTGATCTTAAATTTGGTATAAAAGGCTTTTAACTGCTTTTATTCCAGCCAATTAATAAAATAAGACTAACTTAATGGAAAATGGGCGACGCGGTGGCGCTGTGGGTAGCATTTATTTTCAGGTTTAAACAAAACTTACAACCTCACAAATATTTTTTGGATGCATAAAGTTGGACTCATTACATTTATTTACAGAAATCTCTGCCTATAACTGTGGCCCATATAAACAGGTTTCGACATATTCACGGCACTAATTAATCTTGAATTGTACATAACCAAAGCACATATGCATTCACCGGCTACTTTATTAGGTACACCTTACCAGTACCGGGTTGGACCCCCTTTTTCCTTAAGAACTGCTTTTATCCTGCATAGATTCAACAAGCTACTGGAAATATTCCTCTGAGATTTGGTCCATTCTGACATGATAGCATCACGCAGTTGCTGCTGATTTGTCGGCTGCACATCCATGATGCCAATCTCCCGTTCCACCACATCCCAGAGGTGCTCTATTGGATTGAGGATCTGGTGACTGTGGAGGCCATTTGAGTACAGTGAACTCATTGTCACGTTCAAGAAACCAGTCTGAGATTAAACACGCATTATGACATGGCCCATTATCCTGCTGGAAGTAGCCATCAGAAGATGGGTACACTGTGGTCATAAAGAGATGGACATGATCAGCAACAATACTCAGGTAGGCTGTGGCATTGACACACATTGGTACTAATACGTCCAAAGTGTGCCAAGAAAACATCCCCCACAGCATTACACCACCACCACCATTAGCCTGAACCTTTGATATAAGACAGGATGGATTCATGGTTTCATGTTGTTGACGCCAAATTCTGACCCTACCATCTGAATGTTGCAGCAGAAATCGAGACTCATCAGACAACATTTTTCTAATCTTCTATCGTCCAATTTTGGTGAGCCTGTGCCTGATTCTGATGCGCAATTTGAACTGCAGTAGATCATCTTGACCATGTCTACATGCCTAAATGCGTTGAGTTGCTGCCATGTGATTGGCTGGTTGGAAATTTGCATTAACGAGCAGTTGGAAAGGTTTACCCAATAAATTGCCCGTTGAGGTTACAATTGTAATTGTGTTTATATATATCTGCATACTTCTGATTATTAAGAGCAACATGTACATATATTCATCTATTGTAAATCTCTAATCATAGCTAATACAAACCCCTTTATTAATCCGGGGTCGCCACAGCGGAATGAACCGCCAACTTATCCAGCAAGTTTTTACGCAGCGCATGCCCTTCCAGCCGCAACCATCTCTGGGAAACATTCACACACACACACACACACACACACACACACACACACACACACACACACACACACACACACACACACACACACTACGGGCAATTTAGCCTACCCAATGTTCATAGTACATCCATCTGTAAATATTATTCATAGTTTTCTATAATGCACTTTATAACTTATACCTATATCCTGCACTTTCTGCTATTGCACCTTTGGTTAGACCTAAACCGCATTTTGTTGACTTATACATGTGTAATGACAATAAAGTTGAATCTAATCAAATCTAATCTAATCTAAACAGATACCAGGATGCTTTCATCTTCAGAGAAAGTCGGAAGTCGGAAGCCAAAAAGAAGAGAAATGGAGACGTGATTCTCCAAGAGTGATTTACTGACTCTAGAGATAGCACAAATCAAAGGCAGATCCTTGCAGAGAAACCCTTTAGACTGAGACTAATCCTCTTCCTAACAGAAAACACAACTGAGATGTTGTTCAGAGACCCTTTCAGACTCTATGTCCACGTGTGTGTGTGGAAACCCATGTGTCACGCACTCATGACAAACCACAAAGCAGATACTGACGAAACCAGCGTGCATCGTCAGACCTGTCTGTATTTGAAGAAAAAGCATCTCAATGGCATTTTCTCTGTGCTGGATGGATCTGGTTAAGGTTTGATGATAGCTGCAGTCAGGGATGGATGTTTTAGGGCCAGTTTTGTGGTTAAAGGAGACCTCCTATGTGAGACTTGACGCCAACATGTCTGACAGACAAAATGACTGAGAAGATGCCAAAGTTAAGGGAATAGTAAACTGACTCAATATTTACTCTCCCTTCACTTGTTCCAAACTGTTATGAGTTTCTTTCTCCTGTTGAACCCAAAATAAGATATTTCGAAGAAAGATGAAAACCTGTAACCATTGACTTCCATAACAAGAAAAACAAATACTTCTTTGTGTTTAAGAGACTAAAAAAAAACTATAAAGTTTCTAACAAGTGAAGGGAGACATTGAGTAAATTTTCATTTTTGGGTGAACCAATCTCCAAGTCTGAACTAAGTTACTACAGGAATAACTCACATTTATTCATTTACTTATCCTCATTTCTCCAACCCTTAATTGTTTTTTTTTAGTGACTGTCATGTCATACAAATACATTTAACATCTTAACATTCCTATACAACATACACAGAGGTCGTCTCAGGTTCTAAAATCCATACCTGGCCCAAAATAAATTCTTTGCCAAAACTGGTGTGCATTCATTCATTCATTCATTCATTTTCCTTCGGCTTAGTCCCTTATTTATCAGGGTTTGCCACAGAGGAATGAACCGTCAACTATTTGAGCATATGTTTTACGCAGCAGATGCCCTTCCAGCTGCAACCCAGTACTGGGAAATATCTATACACACACACTCATACACTAAAGCAAATTTAGATTACCCAATTCAACTATAGCGCACGTCTTTGGACATGTGGAAACCGGAGCACACAGAAGAACCCCAAGTCAACATGGGGAGAACATGCAAACTCCACACAGAAATGCCAACTGACCCAGCCAGGACTCAAACCAGGGAGCTTCTTGCAGTAAGGGGACAATTCTAACCACTGAGCCACCGTGCGGGCCATTGTTTTAAGTAAATAACTTGGAAAAAACACATACTTCATAAAATATGACCAACTTGACAATATTTATTTTCGAATCCAACTAGACATGAGCATAAACAGAATTAGGGGCTGTTCACACAAAATGCTCTTTTTCCTTTCCAGTGTGCTACTTTTCTATTGTTTTTCAATGTAAACACATGCTTGACGGATATGTGTGACCAATACGTTCAAACGCAGCACTTTTTGATGCCAAGTCAAGTTAAAAGTTCAACTTTCACACACAGCACTGGTCATCACTGTCAGTTCCAAAGCAGTGGACCAATCAGAAGAGCTCAGAAGTGGGACAATCTCTGCAAGTATCTGTTTACAGGTATTTTTTCAAATCATTCCAAAGTGTTGGTCTCGTGTTTTTAGAAGCAAATACGTGTTTAACATGAGCCCTTAAAGATGACCTATTATGCAAAGTTGTGTGGTAACAGTGTATGAATTTAAGCTACAAGCAGCGATGAAAGGGACCTAGCACCCGGGCTCACTGCTGCCTGGTGGCCTCAGGATGACAGAGAACAGCGAAGAGTAATAATTTAAGCCGATATATAAAACATATCTGAGAAAATCACAGATTTATGCCAAAATTCCTTCTGTCAGCAGGTGGCGCTATAACTGTTACTCAATGTTGGCAGGTAGATGCCTTCAGGAGAGGAATCTTATCAACCATGTGAATTTTCAGGGAGGTCATATCGGACACGCCCTTTGACGAAAACTCTACATCTTCACAATCGCCAAGGCCTTTATATGACAAAACCTAACTTTGGTGTTGATCGGATAAAATCCGTAGGAGGAGTTCGTTAAAATACAACGCCTGGAAATAGCAAAAACGCCACTTTTTCGGAGCAGGAAGTTAAAAATATCTGACTTCTCGGTGAGTTGTGGAATCGTAGCTCGGAGGCCAGTCCGTCAAAAGTGCATAGGTGGCTCTGTCCAGTCATTTTGCAATGCCCACTTCCGAAACCCAAATCAAATGTAAATTTTCGTCACTTTTGGGGCATGTGCAAAGTTTCTTGACTTTTCAGGCATGTTTAGCCCCTCAAAACCACAATTCATTCCGGCGAAGAAGAAGAAGAAGCGGAAGAAGGAGAAGAAGAAGCAGAAGAGAAGCGGAATAATAATAATAAACTAAGCAATTTCAATAGTTTATTCATTCATTCATTCATTCATTTTCTTGTCGGCTTAGTCCCTTTATTAATCCGGGGTCGCCACAGCGGAATGAACCGCCAACTTATCCAGCAAGTTTTTACTCAGCGGATGCCCTTCCAGCCACAACCCAACTCTGGGAAACATCCACACACACATTCACACACACACACTTATACACTACGGACAATTTAGCCTACCCAATTCACCTGTACCGCATGTCTTTGGACTGTGGGGGAAACCGGAGCACCCGGAGGAAACCCACGAGAAGGCCTCGCCCTAGTAAATATATATAGCAGTGCAAATTCATTTGACTTGTAAATTCGACTCAATAATAACTATTTAAAAAATCTGTTTTGTGTTAATGTGACATGTTTCTGTCCGATATTACATGTTCCATGCATACTGCCACTATTAATAAAAGTTATTATTTGAAGGATTTGACATGTGGCCCTTCATTTGGTTGGCAAAACGTAATGTGGCCCTCGTGTCTAAAATGTTTGCCCACCACTGCTCAAGGGACATCAGAGACTTATTTTACATCTTGTAAAAAGGGGCATAAAAAGGTGCCCTTTAATATGCACAGCCTAGAAAAATCCTTGGTGATTGATTTAACCTCTGCTCCATAACTTTCATTTAATAGTATTTATAGTAAATATTGTGTGTTTTGTTATCCTAGCACATGTGCGTAAATGTTTAAACCATACGTGTCACAACTAATCCTCGTGTCAGTTTATGTCCCACTCACCCCTACTGTGATGTTTTGTTTTTATCAGCTGTTGTCACTCCTTTAGCATCCATCCACTACTGAGGATTCACTAATGAGCAACTGACTACATTTCTCCAGATTTGTCTTTAACATAAATTATGCAATTTTACAAATGCATGCATAAAAAAACATTCACACTGTTTTATGATGCATGCACTGATGAAAAATTATACCACAAAAAATTGTTAATACTATACAACATACCTTCTCAAAGTCCTGCGGGTGCATTCGGAAACTGCGGTCCCTCAGCTGGAGTTTGGACAGCTGCTCCTTTAACATCCCCAGCTTGACTTTATCTACGAGATGCAGTGGGGGTTATTAAACCACACATATGTTTTTCATTTTCATATCATTTTATTTTAAAAAGAGCGCGAACTACACATTGGCGTTCAGGGGGGTCTACTTTTTTGTTACGTTTTAAGTGAATTAAATTGATTTAAATTACATCAAATTTATTAATAAGACGTATTTAAGTTTTCAGTGTTTTGAGGGATATTAAATGTGTTCTGACATACAGTAACCTGATTAATTCAGAGGTTACTAGCTCAAACTATTTAAACTATATGTCTATTTTTACTTTACTTTTAAGCTATATGTAAATATAAACACCTACTTTACAAGAAAACTGTCTAGTGACCACTTGCGAGAGTGGTTTCCAACCTTTTTTATTGCCTAAAACCCCCTTTTCCCCCTCAACATTTAATGATATTATCGCTCATATACAGTTGAAGTCAGTATTATTAGCCCCCCTGAATTATTAGACTGCTTGTTTATTTTTTCCCCAATTTCTGTTTAACAGAGAGCAGATTTTTTCAACACATTTATAAACATAATAGTTTTAATAACTCATTTCTAATAACTGATTTATTTTATCTTTGCCTTGATAACAGTAAATTATATTTTACTAGACATTTTTCAAGACACTTCTATACAGCTTAAAGTGAAATTTAAAGGTTTAACTAGGTTAATTAGGTTAACTAGGCAGGTTAGGGTAATTAGGCAAGTTATTGTATAATGATGGTTTGTTCTGTAGATTATCGAGAAAAAATATAGCTCAAAGGGGCTAATAATTTTGTCCCTAAAATGGTGTTTAAAAAATTAAAAGCTGCTTTTATTCTAGTCGAAATAAAACAAATAAGACTTTCTCCAGAAGAAAAAATATTATCAAACATACTGTGATAATTTCCTTGCTTTGTTAAACATCATTTGGAAAATATTTTAAAAAGAAGAAAAAAAGTCGAAGGGGGCTAATAATTCTGACTACAACTTTAAGTTTGCAGTAAGGTAAAAAAAATGCTGTTTTCAAACAAATGGTATGTTTATTACTACATCTTGATATGTTTATGCACAAATATTTGCCAATTTTTTAAGTTACTTTTCAGTAGCTGTGACGTCCTCATTTCATTTTGGGTATGTGTCAATTATTTTGCCTTGCGCCTTGGGCTTGTCGCTGCATTTAGGATGAGTGCTCTGCAGATGTCTTATTAATTTGGATGACCTCATGCATTCGTTATCGAGAATTTTGACGCAGATAATGCACTCTGGCTGGGTCAGGAGGACTCTGCTTCGAGAAAGTGGAATAAAACCATAGTTCAAGTAACTATCGTGGAGTTTCCTGCATTTCGTTTTTCCAGCATTGCTAGCGCTGCAGCCTGAAATATTAAAGCTTCCTCACTTGGGTCCAGTATGCTTGGGTCATAAGTATTAGCTGCTAAAGGTGAATCAGCGAGACTCAAATCACAAATTTGTCCATTGCTTGGTTTAAAAAATCTGACGCGACCCCCCACTGAGCTCGCTGAGGCCCCCTTGTGGGCCTGATTTACGATATCCATCGCTGCTCTAGATCTGCTGGTTTAAACACTGTTGAATGATTCTTGCAAAGACTGATTGATGCGATTATACATGAACCCCTATAATGGTATGAACCATTATAGGGGCGGTCAAATGTATGTTTGTATTATCTTTTATTTTAATTATTAATATTATTATTTAAGAGACAGATCAGGGAAAACTATTTCTCATTATTTTAGGCCTGACATGCCCCCATACATGTGTTTTTGACGTTCTTCAGGGGGGATCAAGCATTAATTAGGTAATTCGCACCCTCATTTTAAACCTAAAATAAAAAATCATACCTTCCTCTTTTCTCTCCTCGTTTTCCTCATTCAGCTGCTGGTCGGTCACAGCTATCTTTACACTAGATTTTGGTGTAAACTCTGGCACTTTTACTCCCTGAAGAACGGTCTGAATATCAGCACGATTTCTTGATCCTGTAATCCCAAAAATCTGTGCATATAAATTGGCAGCCGCGATGATGAAATCCATATGGGTGGCCTATAAAAAGAGAGATAACAGTATTCATCTCTAACGCTGAAATGCTTTTATTGTAACTGGCAGCAGGGATGGGCAAAAATACACTGAAATGTATTTTAAAATAAAATACCAAATACATCAATTTTACGTTTATCATAATAAACTACAAAATACAGCAGCCACAACAAGTATCAAAATAAACCTGTATTTTGCATTTTGAAAATATTACAAAATACTTTTACAAGAGAGCATGAAATGTCTTCCCAAACATTTTATCAATATGCATATTGGATCAATCCCTTCATTATAAACTGAGTTAGTGAAGTAAACAATGTTTGACAGCAACAGCATTTCTCTGAGCAAGTTTAAGTCAGCTTCTCTGTCAACTCATTCACCTCTACTTCTCTACATTAGTATAAACTTTTTCATTTTAATATAAATTACTAAAGAAAGTCCTGTCTTGAAGATGATCTCTTTTATCAATGTAAAAACCATGTAATGCAGATAATGAGTTGGTATATAGTACTCTTCATTGTGTTTCCATCAATTGCGTGGCCAGTAAAATTGGCACCATCTTTTAACAGTCTTATTTTTGAAAAGGGTGATCTATGAAGTAGTTATTTACATTTTTGTTTACATATTTTTTTTAAATAAATATTTTTTTTGCAACTGAAATCTTCAATACTTAATTTAAAAACATGATTTCTGAAAACTACTAAAGTGTTCAGTTTTAGTACTGCAATTTCCATACATTATGTTTTTGCAAGTGTTCTCTTCAATGCACAACATAAAATATGATATCTCAAAAAATGGAGTTATCAGTTTTTGCGAAGTCTGACGTTTTTGACCAGTCTGTTGAGACTGGAGTATTATTGTATATATATGTCTAATATACTGGATTGTGCCACTTTGACATCTTTAGACAAGCATCTTTCCTCTTAATTAACTATACCTGCAGATCAACTACTGGCATTTGAATCAACCAATCAAGTAAAGATATCGCCACTGTAGAACTTATTAGTATGTTGTTGTCTACAGTTGAAGTCAGAATTATTAGCCCCCCTAAATTATTAGACCGCTTGTTTATTTTATCCCCAATTTCTGTTTAGCGGAGAGAAGATTTTTTTAACACATTTCTAAACATAATAGTTTTAATAACTCATCTCTAATAACTGATTGATTTTATCTTTACCATGATAACTGTAAATAATATTTTACTAGATATTTATCAAGACACTTTTATACAGCTTAAAGAAACATTTAAAGGCTCAACTAGGTTAATTAGGTTAACTAGGCAGGTTAGGGGAATTAGGCAAGTTATTTTATAACAGTGGTTTGTTCTGTAGATTATCGAGAAAAAATATAGCTTAAAGGGGCTCATAATTTTGTCCCTAAAATGGTTCATGAAAAATTCAAAACTGCTTTTATTCTAGCTGAAATAAAACAAATAAGACTTTCTCCTGAAGAAAAAATATTATCAGACATACTGTGAAAATTTCCTTTCCCTGTTAAACATCATTTGGAAAATATTTTAAAAAGAAGAAAAAAAATTGAAGGGGGCTAATAATTCTGACTTCAACTATACATCAGCAATCCATTCAAAACTACTATTATATGTGCAGGTTACTTATTCTCCCTAGAGATTTCAGTTCTTCTTTACTGGAAGAGTCTCAGTTTAACCCCATAGTAACATAGTTTTGACTCGTCAAAAATCCAATTCAAGATATCTACAACTGTAATTCGACTATTAATAAATTAATTAGAGATATCTTCAAATATATTTGTAAATATCTCTAAATATGATGAATTAAAGACATCTCCAAATGTATTATGACTAGTAAAAACTCAGAGATATCTCTAATTACAATTGTGACTAGTCAAAACTCATTTAGAGATATCTGCAAATATTTTTCAATGGAAGTCAATGGAGGAATATGACTAGTCATAAGATATTTGCAGATATCTCCAATCTGATTTCGTACTAGTACAATTGTAATTGCAGATATCTCTAATTGTTACTCTGACTATTCGAATTATAATTATGACAAGTCAAAATATAATTAGAGATATCTCTAAATATATTTATGGAGTCAGAACAAAGATTTAAATGCTAAAAAGGATTGCCATAGAGATCGCTTCTGAACAGCGCAGCAGCGATGACGTAAGCGTGCCGAGGCCCGATATGGTGTGAGCGCGGGCCGTCGGGGGAGACGGGAGGGGGGACAAGCGTGCTTTGGCCCGGTTCGAGGCAACTGTACCTAGTGTGAGTACGGCCTAAATCACACTGAACTCAGCTAAACTGAGCTGAACTGAACTTAAACACTAAAAACTGAACTACACTGTTCCAGTTACTATGACCATTTATGTGAAGCTGCTTTGACACAATCTACATTGTAAAAGCGCTATACAAATAAAGCTGAATTGACTTGAATGTGTGCAAAATTTCCATCCATACTTCAAGCATTGGTGACCTTCTTAATCAATTTTCTGTTCTGATCTCAAGCCTAGGCAAATAACTGAGAAAGCAGCAATCTGAGGCTTCATTTTGATGATGTCCGTCATCATGTAGACTTCTTACAAAGTATTTTACAGTATTTAAAAAAAAAACACAAGACACTTAAGTATTTTATTACAAAACATTAAGTCATCTTCACAAACCCCATCAAATACAAATTTCTAAATGCTATTATGTATTTAAAATAGGTATTCGAAATACGTGTACCATAAATACTGTCCATCCCTGATTGGCAGAAATAAACTAAAGGGTGGAAAAAGTTGGATCACAATCACACACACGCACAGAAACAGAACTGCAGGAAATGACGAGAGGAAAGTGTGTAGAGCATTCAAAAAACAACACTTCCCAAAACGAGTTCACCTTTCAATTTAAATAGGCTGTGATGAGAAGAGAAGAATTCCTTTAGGGGAAAACTGATGCTGATAACGTTTATAAAGAACCAAGACAATGGAAACAATGGGTCATAAAACTGAATAATGGCTACAAAATATGCATTTGCATATTTATAGAAGCCTAATTAAAATATTTAGGAGTGTTTCTACAGATCTCTGAACGTGTTTCTGTGAAAAGCATGATCTGTTTGCTAATGTGTCACTGTGTGTTCATCTGTGTGAGTGTGTGTGTGAGGGTTGGGGGTTTAACATGTTTTCTCTTTGCTTTGTTAATCTCAGGTGATCAAGATCAGTATCTATTTCACAGCAGGAGAGAAACTGTGAGTCGTCTGAGGTTAGAGATTACCGTCTGCAGGGGATGATGGGAGATCACGGTGTTTGTATGCAGAGATTAAGTGAGTAAAACTTACATTGTTAGTGTCAAAGGTCAAGGCGTGTGGACATCTCTTTGCACCCATCCAAAACGGAAGTCCAGAGCTTGTTAGCTAAGGAGGAAAAAAAGTGTTTTGATCAATAATACATACATACATACATACAAGAGTGTGTATGTGTGTGTGTGTGTGTGTGTGTGTGTGTACATGTTTTTGTGACATACCAGGACACAAATCTGTATAATGACAGGTATGACACAGGTATTACAAAAAGGAGGTGAAATATGAGGACATTGGTGACGTCCTCATTTCTCAAAATGCTTATAAATCCTACAGAATGAGTTTAATCAGAGAGTAAAGCTGCACACAGTCTCCTCTCATGGTTGGGTTTAGGGGTGGGGTGGGGTGAGGGCAATATAATATAGGGTTTGAACAGTATTAAATGAATGGAAACCTATGTAATGTCCCCCTTTTTTTACAAAAACAACATGTGTGTGTGTGTGTGTGTGTGTGTGTGTGTGTGTGTGTCTGTGTGTGTGTGTATAGCCAATTAATTATATATATATATATTGCTAATAATAAATAAATGTTTCTATATGGCCCAAAATATTATATTATATTATATTATATTATATTATATTATATTATATTATATTATATTATATTATATTATATTATATTATATTATTTTATATTATATTACAACATTGTTATTAATGATATATTATTTAGGTATATTACACTAACAATTATTCTTTTTTTAATTAAATTAAATATATTGTCAATTAATGACCATTATGAGAAGTATAAAAAAAATTCAGTTAAAAACTAATTCATGTATAATTTATATTTTAATATTGTAATTATAGATTTTTAAATAATTTATGTATAAAAATATATGTTATATTGTTGCTCATTATACAAATATATATGTGTCCATTTCTTATTAAAAATATTTTTGTAACATTTTGAATATTTAACATGTTATATAAGTCTATTGTTGTTATATTTATTATTATATGCAGGTTAATTAATTAAATTATAATTTTAATTAAATGTTTGTCTGTTTTTTTTGTAAAAAATATATAATACATACATACACAAACACACATTTTGAATGTTTGCATTGATTTAATCATATTTAAAAGTATTTATTTATAATTTTACAATAAATCTACATAAATGGTTGTCTACGTTTCAAATAAATATGATATTAAAAAGTCTTGAGAAATTGAATTTAAAAACAAAAAATGCAAATAAAAGTGGTTTTTATTTTATTTGTAGTTATTTTATTTTAATTTGTTTATTTATGAGAATTTTGGTTTATTTTGATACATAATAATATGGTTGAAGACACTAGTATGGATGGATGGATGAATGGATGAATAAACACAGACAGACAGACAGACAGACAGACAGACAGACAGACAGACAGACAGACAGACAGACAGACAGACAGAGGTCAGAATTAATAGCCCCCCTGAATCATTAGCCCCCTGTTTTTTTCCCCCCAATTTCTGTTTAACGGAGAGCAGATTTTTCAATACATTTCTAATCATAATAGTTCTAATAACTCATTTCTAATGACGGATTTATTTTATCTTGACAGTAAATAATATTTTACTAGATATTTTTCAAGACATTTCTATACAGCTTAAAGTGACATTTAAAGGCTTAACTAGGTTAATTAGGTTAACTAGGCAAAATATGGTAATTAGGCAAGTTATTGTATAATGATGGTTTGTTCTGTAGACTATTGAAACAGCTTAAAGGGACTGATTATTTTGAGCTAAAAATGTTTTTTTTTTAAATGTAAACTGCTTTTATTCTAGCCTAAATAAAACAAATAAGACTTTCTCCAGAAAAAAAAAATCGAAAGTATTAGATATTATCGAAACACTGTAAAAATTTCCTTGGTCTGTTAAACATCATTTGGGAAACACTTAAAAAAACGAAAGAAAAAATTAAAAGGAGGGCTAATAATTCAGACTTAATCTGTAGATAGACAGACAGACCGACAGACAGACAGACAGAGTTAACTAGAGTAAATATGCAATGGAAGACGTCTACATGTGTTGTGGGCCAAATGGAAGCCCTGCAGCCACTAGTCACATGCTGATGTTAAGTGGACATGATTGGACACCATAAAGCCCATGTCTCCAAGCCATTTGCTGAGACAGACAGAGTAATGACTTTATCATGTGTGTGTTCAATACATTTTAAACAAATACCACGAGAAGCTTTAATAAACGAGCAGACTAAAAGACCAGACAGCAGGCCTATATTCCACTAGTTTAAGAGGAAGAGTTGTCTCTATTGATCTTTACAACCATTTTCTGCACTCCAGGAAAACTTTCAACCGACTTCTCTGAAACTGTTATGCAAAGCACATCCCAACCCCAGGGGAACTTCATGATTTATTATTCACTAGCACATTAATGGTCAAACCCTCAAACTGAACTGTGGTCTACATTCCCATTTCACATCCGCAACTTCAGCTTTTTACAACTGATGCATCTGGACATACGAGATAAAGGACTTTTCAGAGTTTCAAAACCTGTCCATATCACTCTTACTCAGAATGAATCTTTATCTCTGTGCGCACATGCTGATGCTATAGATCATCCATTCTGTTACACAACTACACACTCCCTGTTGAAATTTCCCTTTTAAAAAACTAGTTGCAATCTGCAATTTAGAAAGAAATAGTTTCTCATTATGAAGATTTTTGTACTTATTATTAATAATAATGATATGAATCCAATTATTAAATTGCATTTAAAGTATGACTGTAATTGTAACTCATATCATGCCTTATAAACTTGTGCTGACCTGCTTCAAAACATGACCAAAGCATATAGTTGTTATAGACAACAGCGCCGCCTGCTGGTTTAAAGAGATATTGACATTTTTGACCCAGATATTTTTTTTGCTATTTTGTGATACAGCAAACCACAAAACCAGACATAAGTGTCATTTTTTTTTAAATTGAGATTTATATATGAAGAGTTCAGATGTAAAAACCGTCTGAAATTTTGTTCTAAAATTAGCATTTATCTCAGGATCCTATGTTTGTGTTTAGTAATTTCACTTTAAAGGCAAAGCAAAGAACATATTATTTGCCCTAAAAGAGGGTTTGCTGAACATACTCACTGGAGCTTGAGAAAAATGTCCACTTTAAGAGATAATTTTAGACGGAGTTTAGAGGTTTTTGCATCAGAACTCTTCACATTATCTTAAAACTGAATAAATATTGGAAGGGCATTCGCTGCATAAAAGGTGCTGGATAAGCTGGCGGTTCATTTCGCTGTGGCGACCCCTGAATAATAAAGGGACTAAGCCGAAAAGAAAATGAATAAATGAATGAATGAATATTTTTTCCATTAATTTCCATTTCTTAGTATAGGACAATATTTGGCTCAGATAGACGGACGGACGGACGGACGGACGGACGGACGGACAGCCAGACAGCCAGACAGACAGCCAGACAGACAGCCAGCCAGATAGATAGATAGATAGATAGATAGATAGATAGATAGATAGATAGATAGATAGATAGATAGATAGATAGATAGATAGATAGATAGATAGATAGATAGATAGATAGATAGATAGATAGATAGATAGATAGATAGATAGATAGATAGATAGATAGATAGATAGATAGATAGATAGATAGATAGATAGATAGATAGATTCAGTGACCTCAGATAGACAGACAGACAGACAGACAGACAGACAGACAGACAGACAGACAGACAGACAGACAGATAGACAGATAGATAGATAGATAGATAGATAGATAGATAGATAGATAGATAGATAGATAGATAGATAGATAGATAGATAGATAGATAGATAGATAGATAGATTCAGTGACCTCAGATAGACAGACAGACAGACAGACAGACAGACAGACAGACAGACAGACAGACAGACAGCCAGCCAGCCAGCCAGATAGATAGATAGATAGATAGATAGATAGATAGATAGATAGATAGATAGATAGATAGATAGATAGATAGATAGATAGATAGATAGATAGATAGATAGATAGATAGATAGATAGATAGATAGATAGATAGATTCAGTGACCTCAGATAGACAGACAGACAGACAGACAGACAGACAGACTGTAAATGTCCAATATGAGGGTTCAAAAATATATTCAAATACTAAGAAATCTCCTTTAAAGCTGTATTATTTTATTTTATTACCATTATTTAACCAGGAAGTCTGATTGAGATTTAAAATCTCCAAAAACTCCCCAAACCATTTGGATTACACTATTACAAATCACTATATTGCTACAAACCTGGATACAAACCTCTAACCACCGACTTCCACATATTATTAAATTCATCATTATATCTAGGTAATCACTTAAAATATTACAATTCTAATTAAATGTTTGTCTGTTTTTCAGTTCATACACACACACACACACACACACACACACACACACACACACACACACACACACACACACACACACACACACACACACACACACACACACACGCACATTTTTAATTTTTAAAAGTATTTATTAAAAAATTTACAATATATAATATATCTACATAAACGTTTGTCTTCTTTTCAAATAAAAAAAAAATAAAATTTATGAACAATTTGATAAAAAAAAATACATATATACATATACTTTTTTTCAGAAATATATAATGATATAATATATTTTGGGAAAAAGTGATTTTCTATTGTATTTTTGATTATTTTATTTTTATGAGAATTTATGAGAATACTAGTGGGAGTCAATGCCTTCAGGTTTTTAGCATTCTTCAAAATATATTTTTATGTGATTAAAAGAACAAAGAATTTGATAAAAGTTTGAAACTAGTAAAAACTGAGTAAATGATGGCAGGATTTTCATTTTTGGTTGAACTATACCTTTACAATAACCAAATGACTCACCTCTCTGGGTCTGCGTTATTTGCAGCAGGTTGGTATATTGCATTTGTTGGGAGAATTTGATTGATTTCTCAGTTTATTAGTGTTTTTCTATTTGCATGTTTTTTTCCTGCAGGTCTCTCTTGCACCTTTTGAAAATATATACTGATATAAAGCCAGACTCTGTGTGTTACCTGGTCAGGAGGAAAGCAGTGCAGCAGTTGTCTGATGTGATTGTTGTAGAGAGTTTCCCATTGTCTGCGGGCCCAGCTGATGCAGTCTTTCCAGTTCTCAGGCCAGTCATCGCTCAGACTCCTATAGACGCCCTCCAGCATCTCCACAGCCTCCACATCTCCACGGGCCACTGTACGATCCACAAACCCTGGATCACTGCAGAGATGATGGACCAATATCAGTATATGAGGAGCAGGGTCAGAAATACACTTAAATATAGACATCTTTGCACAAAAAATACGGCACAGAAATCAAACTTGAAGCGGAATGCACATAATGGCAGCATATCTTTACACTGAATTTTGAGGAGAGACGAATTGGCTGTGTAAAGATGACTTTAAAGGGATTTTAAAATGACCTAAAATGCCGTCATTTACTCACCCTTCACTTCTTTAAAACATACTGGATTTTCATTCTTCTGTTGAACACAAAAGACTATATATGGAAAAAGCTGGTAGTTGACCTCCACAGTCGTTTTTTCTACTACTGTCAAAGTCTATGTGTATCAGCAACCAGAATTCTTACAAATAATTTTTTTTTGTTTACCAGAAGAAATAAAATCATAAAGATTTAAAACCACATGACAGAGAGAATGAGGTAATATCCATTTTTGGGTGAAGGCACATCATTTGCTGGAACTGATTTCCAGGGGCATTTTAACCTTCATACGTGCAAGTCTTATTAATTTTATCTGTGTTGTCTTGTATGTAAATTATTTAAATTGAACCAAAAAATTGCATGCCAACTATACATTTCTAGGACCTTATTATAAAAAGGGAGTCAGGACTGTAATATTGTGACAAAAAATCTTAAGTTTATCATCGCTTGTTGATTATTCATGTTTATTAATACACTATAAAATCCAACAGTCAGATTTATCAAATTAAATGTGTGTGAGTAACTTAAAATATACTGAAAGTTAAGTCTACACATTTGAAAAGGGTTTTGAAGCCAGTGTTTAGGGTAACGAGTCATTAAATACCTTATTACTTCAAAATAAATGGAGTAAGTTCACAGTACTCTTATACTGTTAACTCAAATGATTTGAGCAGATTCATTAAACCGTTTGAGTTGCCTTAACTTATTGGGTTTTACAGTCCTCAGTTGGTTTGAGTTTTCTTCATGTATTGGGTTTTACTGTGCTCAAATTGCTTTGTTTACTCAAATGGACTAGGTTCACAGTACTTATTAGGATTAGTTTTTGAACTTAAATGGTTTCTTGCAATCAGTTTCCTCAAATGGTTTTAGCTACCATACAGAATACATACACATTGCTTTTGTTTTGTTAAAAGCCTCTCCTGTCTCCTGTTAAAAGCTTTTAATTATTTTATTATTTTATTTTCCCCCCAAAACATTGAATAAAATTAATTGAATTTAATCACTAAAATTATTAAATTGATTATATACAAATGATCAAAGCTAAAATTGAACTTTACTTCTTCATTTTGTCAAGTTAACTTTAAGTAAACTAAAAAAAACAGCTATTCAAATATAATAAATTACTAAAACTTTAACTAAAATAAAGTCAGCAAATACAAAAATGTAACACTAATTCAAAATATTAACAGAAACAATGATAGTATAACAATGATACGATTGCAAAAATGTCCTAAAACTTTTTCAGCAAAGACAGCTGTGGAGTTGGGTGGGTTTCCTTCCTTAACTTCACTCACAGGCTGCAGTTTGCTGACAGCCAGCAGGAAGTAGTTGAGATCAAGGAAGTTTTTTTGCTGTGGTATCAGCCTTCAGCACACAGCACCTCAACATCCCGCACAGCCGCCTCTTTATAAACATCCTCCACTTCATTTCAGATGGAAAAGGCATTTAACGGATCTCAATTCGCAGTTGACACTGGTGGCAGGAAGCCCGAGGGCAGCCTGGGGTGGCTCTTATAATGGACATGATGGAGTGCAGTGTTGAGCAAAACCTCTGAAAACGGTCAGAGCCTCTTCACCTTATATTTCCTCAATGCATTTGCTTTTATTTCACATCTACATTGTTGGCTATAACTAAATTGCATGCATCTGTACCTGAGAAAGTTGTTCACGTTCTGTGCTGTTTGCTTGAAAAGTCCTTCGAAATGGTCTCTGGCCCACTGAAAATGATAAAATATTAATTTGTGATTTACAGACATAGATAGGTTTATGTTTGACAGAAATGCAAAATAACCATTAAATTATCAAAGATACTACTCATAACCTTAAATAAGAATAACAGCATTTAGACATCATTTGACAATATGAAAGCTAGAAAAAACATTATAAAAGCAATAGTTTTCAAACCTATGCTTCTTCTACCCCCACCAATATTTATGAAAAACGTAAAAATATTTTAAATATTAAAGCTGACTTTCAATCACAACCAACCAAACAGCCAGCCAACCAACCAACCAACCAATCAACCAACCAACCAACCAACCACCCAAACAGCAAACCAACCAATTAAACAGCCAGCCAACAAAGCAAGTAAACAGCCAACCAACCAACTCACCAACCAACCAACCAACCATCCTAACAGCCAACAAACCAACCAACCAACCAAACAGCCAACTACCCAAACAGCCAACCAACCAACCATCCTAACAGCCAACCAACCAACCAAACAGCTAACCAACCGAACAGCCAACTAAGCAAACAACCAACTAACCAAACAGCGAACCAACCAACCATCCTAACAGCTAATCAGCCAAACAACCAACCAGCCAACCAACCAACCAACCAACCAACCAACCAACCAAACAGCTAACCAGCCAACCAACCAAACAGCCAACCAGCCAACCAACCAAACAGCCAACCAACCAACCGAACAACCAACCAACCAACCAACCAACCAACCAACCAGCCAACCAACCAACCAACCAGCCAACCAACCAAACAGCCAACCAACCAACCGAACAACCAGCCAACCAACCAACCAACCAACCAACCAACCAACCAGCCAACCAACCAACCAACCAGCCAACCAACCAAACAGCCAACCAACCAACCGAACAACCAACCAACCAACCAACCAACCAACCAACCAGCCAACCAACCAACCAAACAGCCAACCAACCAACCGAACAACCAACCAACCAACCAACCAACCAACCAACCAACCAACCAACCAACCAACCAACCAACCAACCAACCAAACAGCTAACCAGCCAACCAACCAAACAGCCAACCAGCCAACCAACCAAACAGCCAACCAACCAACCGAACAACCAACCAACCAACCAACCAACCAGCCAACCAACCAAACAGCCAACCAACCAACCAACCAACCAACCAACCAACCAACCAACCAACCAACCAACCAACCAACCAACCAACCAACCAACCAACCAACCAACCAACTAACCAAACAGTGAACCAACAAACCAACCAACCAACTATCCAAACAACCAAACAGCCATCCAGCTAACCAACCAAACAGCCAACTAACCAATCAACCAACTAACCAAACAGCGAACCAAACAACCAACCAACCAAACAGCCAACCAACCAACCAAGTAACCAAACAGCCAACCAAAAAAACCAAGCAACCAACCCATCAACCAACCAACCAAGCAACCAACCAGCCAGCCAGCCAGCCAACATAACTAAACTAAATAAAACAGCCTCTTTAAATGTTCAGAACTTTCTGAATTTCTGAAAAAAGACATCAAAGACCTGAACATTTAAAAAAACTGAATTTTTTATAAAAGCCCAGAATGTACCTGATTTAAACTGTACAGAATGGTTATGTTGATGCTAATATCGCTATTGCTCTATGTTTTCAGGATGAAAGGTACCATCATTGTGTACACAAAGGTACACATTTGTGCCTTAAAGGGTCCATATTGGAACCTCCGAGATAACTTTTGTACTTTTTACCTTTGAGGTGCCAATATGGTCCTAAAATGTATTTCTTTAGAAAATATACCGCCCCAGTGACAGCTCTCATAGCTTTATTTCTGAGAGTATACTGTATGTGTGAATGGATCTTTAATCAGTATTTGGAGTAACATAGGACAGCTTTGCTCAAAAATGGAATAAATCATACATTTATTGTAAAAATTGTCCTCTCACCTGTAGTGTGTGCTCTATACGGTGAGGGAAGTTCTTGAGTGTGCAGATGGGAATGGCTTTCTGTCCTCCAGATGAGGAGAGTCCGTATGATTCGGTCAGGCGTGGCACTACAACCATAGTGTGGCCTTTGCTACCCAGAGTTCCTCCCTCCAGCATGGGCTTTTTGTTTCGCACACAACATTGGTCAAGATAAACCCCTAATGGACAAGGAAAATAAAAGTTAAGACAGCTAGTTAAGTTTGCTTTCTTGTTTTAGGTGTAGGGTGCTTTCACATCTGTGGTTCAGTTCATTTGGTTCGGATCAAGGGCAACAAATTATACATTGTAGCATTTTTCTGCCATTTTTGGTTCCTTTTCACACCACACTGATTGCTTTGGTCCGAACCAGTTGAAAAGAACCAAAAAGCAGTCATGTGACAAAATCCACATCATTCATTGGCCAGATGTTTTTGAAGGTATTTCCTAAACTGCTTTTTGATTGGTCAGAATTAACATGTGGGAAGTTCCAGTGGAGCTCCCACAAGCAAAAAAAAAACCCGACAGACACAAAATGACACTTTTGACTATGGAGAGACGACTGTGCTGGCTGATTGTGTCCCTCCTCATAGTATGCTATACAGTGTATATGCATCACTTTAGACAAACTATACATTTTGAGAATGAAGCGCGGCTGGAAAACAATGTTTTAATGCATTGCAAATGGCGAAGGTACATTGCAAATCACTTCAGGAGGAGGCGTGAATTAATTTTGCTAAACTGAGACATGGTCATCTTCTGGAAATGTTACCAACAGTCCATCAGGTAATGTCTCTGTCTCCAGTGGCGTAGCGCAAAATGCGGAGGCCCCCCTTCAGGGATCACTGACGGGGCCCTCTGCTGATGGGGGGGGGGGGGGGGGGGAGAATCACAAATTGAGGAGCGGGGAAGGAAGGCGGGGTGGAACGACAACGCGGAGAAGCCTTCACAAACTGAGGAGCGGGAAAGGGGGGCGGGGTGGAGTGACAACGCGAATAGGCTTCACAAACTGAGGAGCGATCACAAACCGAAAGCGGCGAGAGCGTCAAAGTAGCCAGAAGTCATTCATTTCAATAAGAACCGGCAGCGAGAAACAGCGTGGCGCGTCTTCTCCGGTGTGAGCATCAAGGAGAGTTTATGGTATAAGACAACTTTATGGTAAAAGCTATGACGCGGTTCAGCGGCAAGCAATCAGAATGAAGTAGTCCAACGCAGATAACACAGACCTGTGAACTTTGGTTCCGACCACAGTTGTTCCGAAGAGTTTGAATTATTAAAAATTGTGACAACGCGGGGCCCCCTAATCACGCGGGCCCCCCCGTGGTGTATGCCCTGCGGGCCCATCCACTACGCCACTGTCTGTCTCTGTCTCTATCTCTGTCTCTGTCTCTCTCTCCATTCTCTCTCCCTATTTAAAATTGTAGGTAAAGGGCTGTCAACAAATATTTTTCTTCCACACACCATCCGCTTGTTAAGTCGTGAAGTATCGGTGACGTATGGAATACTGTTTCCGGGTCCAAGCCGCTACTCATTTGAATTGAGAAAATGTTCGTTTATAGCCACATTTTAGTCCAATCACACATTAAAGTGAATTTTATATAAAATCATGGTGTACTCAACCGTCTCTGAACATGCTGTATCATAAATACCAAAATTTTAACAATTTATAAAAACATCATGAACTTTCTGGCCATTGCATATTAGGCATGCATATATATATATATATATATATATACATAAATATATATATATATATATATATATTGCGATCGTGATTTTCAAAAGTATTACATCGCTTTATAAACATATTATTACCATATGATGAGTCTCCCCATACAGTTTGATAAAGCATTTGGACCTGGAAGCCGATTCGCGTGACATCACACTTAACAAGCGGATAATATGGGACAGCGCATCAGACTACAGCAGCTGGATTAATCCAAAAAGGCGCAGTACTTTTTGCGGTTGGGTCTGTTCTGATCATGTTCTGACCACAAACGAACCGCCCGAGGGTTCGTTTGAGAGCATACTGAGACCACTTCTTCAAGGAGGTCTCTGTCCGCTTTTTTGGTCCTCTTTTGGTGCACATTCAAGTGGGATTGCTACATTCACACCAGCCCAAATGAAAAACGAACTCTCGTGCGCTTCAACTGAACTTAATAAGGCATGTTTGTGAATATTAACATCTAATTATTCATTCATTCCTTTTCTTTTCGGCTTAGTCCCTTCATTAATCTGGGGTCGCCACAGCGGAATGAACCGCCAAGACTGTAATGTATATGTTATTTATTATTTTGAGAGCTATAAGGCTATTAAACAGAGTTCCTACTGACATCATGGGCATGTCTGCTAAATGTAAAAATGTCAGCACTCACGAGCATCTACATTATCCAGCGCTGCAGCCACACCATCCAGACCAGTGTAGAATGAATGTGTGTAAACCTCCTCCGTCTCTGCACACACACGGTTCTGCTGAGCAATGATGTTCATGAAAGGGTTCATCTCTTTAACAGCTTCTGCCGCTGCCTCAGACTTCGGCCTCTGCGAGAGACAGAAATATCTCCACATAAGTGTACATTTTACATTACATTTGACCACAATTTAGAAAAAATACTGGAACTCATCCCGCCTTTAGAACAGTGATAGTCTCCAGAGGTTCAGAGGTATGTTTGACTTATCATTAATTAAATATGTTATGCTTACTCCCATAATCATCATGGGGCAAAAGGAAAAAAAGATACTGTCATTGATTTTGTAACCATTTGTCTGGAATATGGAATATTTGTGGTGTTTGACATCAAGATATTTTACCCCAATGTCCTGAGAGCGGAACAGAAACTGTCGATTCAGATTTGATCGCTCGATGGAGTCCATGTCAGTCACAGTAATGCTCCCGCCCTCTCCTGCACCCAGACCAATCAGAGCAAAGTTCTTCAGCAGCTCACAACCAATTGCTCCAGCTCCAACCTGAACATTTGAAATTTAGACACATAATAATGTGAATAATAATAAGTGACAAATAATATTGATTAACAGTCTAAAGACTGAAAGATGGTACATTAATATTAAGATTTTAAATTAAGAGGTTAAATTAGAGGGATAGAATGACTCCAATTTAAAAGCTCAAAAGAACATGTATTTAATGCAATTGTTTTATTTATGTTAATTTGTAATTATTCATGTTTTATTTAAAACAACTTACAAATTAGATAAAATAACACTTCAGGATCATATAAAAATATAGATACTTTATATTATAGGTCTTAAACTCAATTCCTGGTGGACAGCACCTTTATATACATACATACATACATACATACATACATACATACATACATACATATATATATATATATATATATATATATATATATATATATGTATATATGAGCAATTACACATGAGTAGCAGTGCGATATAGCTGTATATCGGCACTGGTGGGAGGCGTGCGTCCTTAGTGCCCAACCATCACACTGCTACGAGTGTGATATTGCGTTTATACAACAGTTTAACGGCATAATTGTGTATATAAAAACAAAATCAAAAATGGAGAGTCTCAAAAACCCTTTTGTAAGAGGAACTACTTTCTTCCACGTTGGATTCAAATCATAAGCTGACAGTTAAACAGCTGAGCAAGCATCTTTTAAACTTTAGATCTGTAGTGTCTGCTTTTTGCTGGCTGTATGTGGGTGGAGTAATACACAAAGGGTAAAGAGGCTGTACGGGTGCTGATATTACTTAAATATATCACGGCTATCAGCCAATCAGATTCGAGAACCAGACAGAACTGTTGTATAAATATATGTATATATATATATATATATATATATATATATATATATATATATATATATATATGTGTGTGTGTGTGTGTGTGTGTGTGTGTGTTTGTATATTTTATTTATTTATTTATTTTTAAATATGTCTCTTATTCCAGGAATGAAAATTAATTTATTATAAACAATGTGGAAATTATACTGACTGGTTTTAATTATCATTTAATTTCTATTTCATAAATCAATTGAATATGTTGATTTACTGCATGATTAATAATAATCCCTAACAAAAACAGTTGTGCTCATTAATACTTTAGTGGAAAATGTATTTATTTGTATGAAAAATCTTCTGAAATATTATAAACGTCTCTTTTATCACTTTTGATCAATTTATTGCATCCTTATTAAAGGATATTACCAAACTCTAAATGGTAGAATATTCTTAAAGAGACAGTTCACCCAAAAATGTACATTTACTCACTATTTACTCACCTTCAAGTAGCTATAAACCTTTATGAGTTTCTTTCACAAAACTAAATTTGGCAGAGAGCTGAAAACCAGTAACCACGGACTTCCAAAGAAAACAAACACTACGGAAGTCAATGTTTTGTGGTTTCCAGCATGCTTCAAAATATCTTCTTTTGTCTTTAACAGAAAAAAACTTTATTATCTACTTTATTAGCATAAAAAGTACAAATCATGTGTTCAAAATAAAGAAAAACACATTTTTGCAATATTCAGGGACATTCAAAAGCAATAAAATCCTCTAAGCAAAAAGCTGCAATATCAGGTTGATTCACATGGGAAACTTTGACTGACAAATCCTTGCAGGAAACATCATGCAGCACATTAAATATTTCCTGTGCATGTTTCACCACTGACTCACTGACCTGCTCTCTGCTTGCCATCAGTCAAAGAATAACTCCAGCATGGTTTACTGAAACACAAACAGCTGTAATGTCCCCCTCTGCTGGTCAAGAAGGAGAATTACACTCACCAGAAAATACTTTTGCTTCTTCAGTTTGTTTTGAAAATCAGATCCAAACACAGCAATCTGGCCATCATATCGGCTGTCTCTCTACAGGACAGAAGAGATTGGGTGATGTACAGTTTACCTCAAACATCATAAATGAAACATATATTTAAATGCTGGGAAAGAGCTTGCGTTTTGCCTACAGGAGCACAAGCATCTTCAGAAAGAACTCCACCCTCCTCTTGAGGAAGACATTCCAGCGCATCGAAGTACAGCCACTGTCTGAGAGGAGTGAATTTACCACTGCACGCCTAAAGGATTTCAATAACATTTAGTCATTAAAAAGGTGTGCTAATACATAGATCTGAGGGTCATGGGAGAAACACACTTAAACTAATTGCAACATAAATAGCTTTTGAAACACCACTGATGAAGCCATATTCTGGTCAAACACACTGTGTAACAAAAATTCTGCAACAACTTTTATGATCTAAATGCAAGTTTATAATGACAGCATAATCAACTTTGCTTTTGCCTTTAGTAATTTTTTGTAAAGAATTGTAATGTTGTGTATATATGTATTTATTATATTTCCATTTTGTCAAGCCTACTGTGGACAGGTGTTGAGAATTAGCAAGTTTGCTAAAACACTTAAACAAATGCATTTGTTTGTCCAGTGTAATTGTGATGTCCATGTCAAATAGATAAATAAATAAATTAATTAATAAAAAATTAAGGGCCCTTCATACCAACTGTAACAGTTATGGTGCATTCGCATCAGACATGGATGAAGAGTCAAGCGCAAGTAATTTACATGTTAAGTCAATGCAAAGATGCAAATAGACATCCTGTGGTATGAATGACGTTGCTCGAGCTGGAAAATTTGACTTTAGTGGACATCTGCACCTCATTAACCAATCAGGAGATTGCTCTTGTTTGAGCGTGATTAAGAGGTAGGGTCTGTTGTTGGTGTCCTCATGCTGCGTTCACACCAGACGCGGAATGTGCTTCAAGCGCGAGTGATTTACATGTTAAGTCAATACAAACGCGCGAATAGACATCCTGCAGCGCGATACGCGCGAATGGCGCGGTGCGTATAGCTCGATACGCGCGAATGGTGCGGGGCGAATTGAGCGTTTTGCGCGTTTGACGCGCTTAACGTGCGTTTCGAATCTCTCGAGTTCAGAGTAATTCAGAGTGACGTAGAACCTGTTGATGGTGTCCAGGGGGAAATCCTCCAGGCGACACCGACAACAAGTCATCAAACTGGGCTTGGCTCAGTCAGAAGCACCGTTGAAAGCCTCCGTGATCCAGGTTCAGTTTCTGAAGGAGTTTATGAGCTCACACAGCTGGATGCACCTCTGAAAGCATGTAATGGACTCAGACACGGTCCTAAACGTATCGACGCTGTTTTTCAGCCTTCATAAAGTACATAAACACTGTTATTTTCTTCATAAAATCCATGTTAGCCATTTAGCAACGAAGCTACAGTCACCGGGCAGACAGAAGCCCTGCCCATCATGCAAATCCGCGTCTGTTCTGAAGTGAATTTGACACGCGAATGAAGCGGGGTTTGACGCGCGAATGAATCGAGTAAACTCAAATGCTCTTGCCAACACCGGACAACAGCTCATCAAACTGGGCTCTTTTCAGTCTGAAGCACCGCTGAACACTCACAGAACTAGGAGCACCTCTGAAAGGATCTAGTGGACCTGGATTAACATCTATGTTGATCCTGGAACAACATTCCAATCAGCCAATCAGCAATAAGGGGAACATTTACAGTTTAAGTTTAGGCTTACAGTTAGGTTTATGCACTTCAACATGATTCTTATCCAACTATTATTCCCCTTTGATTGTGAGAATAATTTACAGTAATCGTTGGGTTTAGCGGTAGGTAATAGGTATGGATAATATTTTCGAACAAGAATGATGTTCCAGGATCAACATAGACGTTTATCCAGGATCACATCATACTTGGCAGAATCATAACGTGTGATCCTCCCAGGGTGAAAAATCAGTAACAGACCAAACTCACCTTCACCACCTCCTGAGCAGCCAGACCTCCAATGAAGGCATTGACGGGTGCCAGATCCCCGCTGGCAACCAGAGACAAATTCCTCACAGCGTCTTCATCAAGCTCATCAAACTTAGCCTCTGTGCAAAGCTCTTTTGTGATGGTAAGCAGCACTTCAGCATCCGCCTATAGAGGGCAGCAAAAGTCAGGAATTAACTATAGTCTGGTTATGAATTATTACGTTTAGAGGTCACATTTAACATTCTCTTCTAATTATAACAATTAGAGCTGTAATAAAAAACCCTTATTTATTTATTATTGTAAATAAACTCTTGAATCGATTCTGAGCTTAATTTTTAACAGCAGATGGCGCTGTCTGTTTTAGAAAACAGCTGTACTCTGCTGCCATCTAATTCTAAAAAACATACCACAATAATAAATTTAGGAAAAGTTTAAATGAATGACAAGTTTGTCCGTAGTGAGTTGTGTTTACATTAATCTTGTGACACAAAAGCAACCTTACATGACTCCCATGAACACACAAGCGCTGCTCCTCATGTGTATTTGATTTAAAACTAGCCATAAAGTTTAGCCTAGAGCACCATTTGCTGCTAAAAACTAGAATAGAGCATGGCTAGAGCACCATTTGCTGTTAAAAACTAGACTAGAGCATGGCTAGAGCACCATTTGCTGTTAAAAACTAGCCTAAAGCATGGCTAGAGCACCATTTGCTGTTAAAAACTAGCCTAAAGCATGGCTAGAGCACCATTTGCTGCTAAAAACTAGAATAGAGCATGGCTAGAGCAACATTTGCTGTTAAAAACTAGACTAGAGCATGGCTAGAGCACCATCGGCTGTTAAAACTTGCCTAGAGCATGGCTAGAGGGCCATTTGCTGTTAAAGACTCTTCTAAAGCACAGCTAGAGTGCCATCTGCTGTTAAAAACAAGCCCAGAACACCAATTGTTAAAAACTAGCCTAGAGCACTATCTGCTGTTAAAAACTAGCCCAGAGCATGGTTAGAGTGCCATCTGCTGTTAAAAAACAGCTTAGAGCGTGGCTAGAGCACCATTTGCTGTTAAAAACTAGCCTAAAGCATGGCTAGAGCACCATTTGCTGTTAAAAACTAGCCTAAAGCATGGCTAGAGCACCATTTGCTGCTAAAAACTAGAATAGAGCATGGCTAGAGCACCATTTGCTGTTAAAGACTAGACTAGAGCATGGCTAGAGCACCATTTGCTGTTAAAAACTAGCCTAAAGCATGGCTAGAGCACCATTTGCTGTTAAAAACTAGCCTAAAGCATGGCTAGAGCACCATTTGCTGCTAAAAACTAGAATAGAGCATGGCTAGAGCACCATTTGCTGTTAAAAACTAGACTAGAGCATGACTAGAGCACCATCGGCTGTTAAAACTTGCCTAGAGCATGGCTAGAGGGCCATTTGCTGTTAAAGAGTCTTCTAAAGCACAGCTAGAGTGCCATCTGCTGTTAAAAACAAGCCCAGAACACCAATTGTTAAAAACTAGCCTAGAGCACTATCTGCTGTTAAAAACTAGCCCAGAGCATGGTTAGAGTGCCATCTGCTGTTAAAAAACAGCTTAGAGCGTGGCTAGAGCACCATTTTCTGTTAAAAACTAGCCTAAAGCATGGCTAGAGCACCATTTGCAGTTAAAAACTAGACTAGAGCATGGCTAGAGCACCATTTGCTGTTAAAAACTAGCCTAAAGCATGGCTAGAGCACCATTTGCTGTTAAAAACTAGCCTAAAGCATGGCTAGAGCACCATTTGCTGCTAAAAACTAGAATAGAGCATGGCTAGAGCACCATTTGCTGTTAAAAACTATACTAGACCATGGCTAGAGCACCATTTGCTGTTAAAAACTAGCCTAAAGCATGGCTAGAGCACCATTTGCTGTTAAAAACTAGCCTAAAGCATGGCTAGAGCACCATTTGCTGCTAAAAACTAGAATAGAGCATGGCTAGAGCACCATTTGCTGTTAAAAACTAGACTAGAGCATGGCTAGAGCACCCTTTGCTGTTAAAAACTAGCCTAGAGCGCAGCTAGAGTGTCATCTGCTGTTAAAAATTAGCCTAAACCGTGGCTAAACTGCCATCTGCTGTTAAAAACAAGTCTAGAGCATGGCTAGAGTGCCATCTGCTGTTAAAAACTAGCCTAGAATGTGGCTGGCGCACCATCTGCTGTTAAAAACTTGTTCGGAGCACCGTCTGCTGTTTAAAACTAGAGTAGTGAACTGTTTGCTGTTAAAAAAGTAGCCTAGAGCATGGCTAGAGCACCATCTGCTGTTAAAAACTTGCCCAGAGCATGGCTAGAGCACCATTTGCTGTTTAAACTCTTCTTGAGCATAGCTAGAGTTTCATCTGCTGTTAAAAACTTGCCTAGAGCAAGCTTAAGACTAGGGCAGTGTACTTCTTTGCTGTTAAAAACTAGTCTGGTGAAGCATCCATTATTAAATACTAAGCTCAGAATCAACTGAAGAGAGAATCTTGATATGATTTTGCTTATTAAATTTGTAAATCAAATAATTATTTTTAGCCACCGCTCTAATAAAGAGTTTACAGAAACACAATCTGACATTAAATTTGAACAATGTAATGTAATAATGTAAGTTGTTCTTTAAGTTACACAATTTAAAGTATACTACCTATACCTGTTTGACCAAATATTTACAAATGTTCTGAGAATAACACTGATATGATGTTGGATGAAGGTGTTTAAATATGACAAACCTGAGATCTAGGATGGGGTGTCCGGCTGTATTTCTGAGTGAATTTATGCAGGGCTTGAAAGGCCAGGTGAAGAGACAGGTGTCTTTGTGTCTTACCATAGTCTGTCATCTCTACAAGACCGGGATCACGGAGGGCTTCATCCAAAGCCACATTCAGAGGTTTCTGCAAACAAAATATCTCCTCAACGACGTACTATTTTGTATGTTGACACACTTCCATATACTGTATCAAGACCTGGTTGCATGAAATCCCTTTAGCTAAAAAAAATTCTTTAGTTGTAATGTTAAGGAAACTCTTTCACTCAGCTGCCATCTTTAAAATGCCTCTCGGGCAGTATGCTCTGGCATTCTGTTTGAATAGGGAAACGTGTGTTATTATTGCAAAAAAAAAAAAAAAACTGTCAGGAAAAAGTGTTTCATGTAAATTCGGACCGCGAGTCCACTTATATGGACATCATTTTTTCTCTAAGAGTACATCCTATCAAAAGATGATACTTAGGTTTTTTTCTAATTAGGTTCCAATAAGCCCAAATAGCAAAGAAAAATAAAAAATGCATGTAAAAAAACACCTTGGGTCATAATAGGTTAATGAAATCCCTTGCCTCAGGGATTTTCCCCCCATCAGAGACACCCCTAAGTGAAATTATTTATAGACTTTTATGCAACCAAGCCCAGAAATATACTGCATTATCATATTAACAGCCTCTTAAAATAGTTATACTTACAAAGCTCAAGATTTCAGGCTGTTTGACTTCAGTTGCCACTCCACACTTCACATAGTCAGAAAAGTTTGAAGTGTCACAAATACTGAAGGAGTAGCTGTCTGAAAACATTTATATTTATATATTGTTATTCTCTGATGCAATTAAGCTTTTATTAGTCATTTTTCTATTTTGTTTTATGCAAATTTGCTATTCATAAATCAAATGACACACACGTACCCCTTACTTTGATCTCAACAGGGCCATAATTGTTGAGTTCAGTCATGCCTTGAACCTCAGAAAAAGTCACAAACATGCCATCAGTGAACTCGTGGCTTTCCTCATCGGTGCAATTTACAACACCTGGATTCTCCTACAAAGAAAAATAGTAAATGCTGCAACTGCATTTGACACCTTTGACAAATTAAAAATGAAACACTGACATCAATTCCTCAATGTTTCGTCACGAACGAAGATACTTTATTGCAGTTTGAATTGATACTTATATATATATATATATATATATATAAGCAGTTGAAGTCAGAATTATTAGGCCCCATTTTGAATTTTTTTCTTTCTTTATTAAATATTTCTCAAGTTATGTTTAATGTTTAACAAAGCAGAATAAAATAAGTTTTTACTTTTTTTAAACACCAATTTTCAGATCAATATTATTAGCCCCTTTAAGTTTTTTTCCCGATAGTCTACCGAACAAACCATCGTTATACAATAACTTGCCTAATTACCCTAACCTGCCTAGTTAACCTAATTAACCTAGTTAAGCCTTTAAATGTCACTTTAAGCTGTAGAGAAGTATATTGAAAAAAAATTTTGTCAAATATTATTTACTGTCATCATGGCAAAGATTAAATAAATCATTAGAAGAATTATTAGAAATGAGTTATTAAAACTATTATGTTTAGAAATGTGATGAAAAAATCTGCTCTCCAGAAATTGGGGAAAAAATAAACAGGTTGGCTAATATTCCAGGGGGGCTAATAATTCTCTCTATATAATTATATATATATTTACACACATACACACATGCACACAAACATCCAAAGTGAAAGTTATTCACCCTTCTCTGATTATTTTTTCTCAAATATTTCTTAAATGAGGTCTAACAGAGCAAGGATTTTTTCACAGTATATCTGATAATATTTTTTCTTCTGGAGAAAGTCTTATTTGTTTTATTTCAGCTAAAATAAAAGCAGATTTTAATTTAAAAAACATCAACATTTAAGGTCAAAATTATTAGCACACTGAAGCAATATTTGTTTTCGATAGTCTACAGAACAAACCATCATTAAACAATGATTTAACCAAGTTTAGCCTATAAATAAGCCTTAAAATCTTCTTTCCATTAAACAGAAATTGGTGGAAAAAAAATTACAGGGGGCTAATAATTCAGGAGGGCTAAAAACTCTAACTTCAACTGTATATTTATCAAACAAATAGAATCAATAATACAAAAAAAGTTAATCTAAGTGCTCTGTAGACACTCAAATACTTTTCTATTGTAGCATACTAGAAGAGTTTAAAGGGCCATTATAATTTGGTGTGTGATTATATTATATACAGTATATTCAATGTGGGGCTTTAAGGAGGAATTTGGGGGTAAAGTGAGTCTACATGTATCAGGGAAAGCATGTTTTTTTTCTGATGAGACAGAGTTGGGTTGTTTTCGAGCGACTGAAAGTAGTATCCTCTTTTATGCCATGCTAAAGTTCATTAAAAGGGGAGGATTAAACGAGTAAATGTTTAGTGACCTTCTTCAGACTGTTACAATAATAACAGTAAGTTTTTACTAACATATACATGCAATCATGAAGCTAATAAATTATGTAGCATTAACAGAAGCTGAAATTTGCATCTACAATTAAACTTAAAGCTTACAGTAAGGACGCCATTATACATTTTGAAGCATTAATCTTTTGGTAGAATGATCAGAATTAAAACGTCTGTATTCTGATGATGAATGAAAGCATTACTGATTTTTAAATGCCATGTGGGTGAGTATTTCTTTAAGAGGACAGAAGTGAAAGTGAAACGTGATTTATGTCCTGTGTCACCTTGCTGATATGTGAAATCATGGCTGAAACTGGAGGATCTCCATTTGTGTCAATGACTTCAAACGATTCGCCAAAGTCACAGAACAACTGCCTGCAAACCAAACACAAAACTCAGAATAATATCCAGCACCGCTATAAATATTGATGTGTTGTATTGATTCATGAGATGCTTCTTACCCACAGAGTCCTCTGGTGTCAGCCACAATAAACTTTATATTGTTTGAGTGACAAAACGCTCCCACACGTAGCTGCTCATCTAAAGGTGAACTTGTGAGCACCACAACCTTCAGTGATAAACAAATAGGATGCAAAAAAAGGGTTACAGAGTTAAAAGTGGGTTAAAACTATTTGATTTAATTTTTGTATATTTTATATTGGCTGATTTATACATTTTGCACTTTAGTACTGTTGTACATTAAAAGGATGCAATAATAGCATGGTGTGTAAATTATTATATTTATTAAAATCTTCGCTTTTTATCGACCCTTTTCACCTGATATCATGAGTCTATTGCTTTGTGCTGCTCTCTTAACTGCAGATGAAGTTGGTATAGACTTGTCAGTACATGTCAAATAAATATTTCAGATGTTTACACGGGTGCTGAACATTTATTAATGCCAAATTAATGTTTTATGATTTTTTTGTGTCCTGAAAAATAAGTTATAAATAAAACTGTGTTTTACTGTGGTTGTTTACAGTGGACAGCTGATTCACAAACACATTCATATTATTTACATTCTACTGCTCAGTTGTCTGCCATTTTTTTCTATATAGGTATTTTATTTGTAAACATAAAACATTTATGTCTGTTTAATATTAAAATTAGTTGAAATAAAATAACAATGTTGTGTGTGACTCTTACTGAGCAAACAAAATCATTAAAAAACTTACAATTGCAAAAACAATGACATTTTAATTCAGTACTTTTACATTATGAATTTATTTGTAACATTATTAATTAAAATTTAGTACTAATGTCAAATTCAATCCACCCAGTAAGTGGTGGTAGGACACATTCTTAATTCATTCAAATGGAGAAACTGTACAAAACATTAATGGATCAATAAATAATAAATGGTGAAACTTATTGCATTTATAGACATTAACTTACCAGGTATTATGAAAAGATTTAATAAAGAATTTTACTCATGGTGAAACATTTACACAAAACAGATAACATGCATTTATATTCATAGCAGCATTAATTAATTATTAATAATCGAAAATCGAATCGAATCGTGACTTAAGAATCGAAAATGTAATCGAATCGAGAATTTGGAGAATCGTGACACCCCTAATGTGTATATTTATATATATATATATACATATCCATTATTAAGGAAATTAACTGAATTAATAAGTGAAAAGAATTTTTCAAAAGTCTTTCCTTGATAAGCAATAGCTAATTTTTATTCTTATCAACTTAAAGAATCACTATCAAACTCAGAAAGCAGTTCAGTATTGAAAGAGAAACATTTGGTCACATGCCCAATACTGTAATAGTCTTTAAATCAGAACATGCGATGTTAATATTTTCATTTGAGTGTTCATCACAATCACATGTATATATCTATATCTATATCTATATCTATATATATATATATATATATATATATATATATATATATATTAGTTTTTTTGTTATGCAAGAGGATATCATGTGATCCGGAAGTGTACAAAAAGGAGCAACTAATGTCTGATGAAGAGCCGTGTGGCTCGAAACGTTACACGCTTTGTGTCAGCCTTTTTAATTTAATAAATTAGTATTTTTAGAGCTTTAGTGTAACCGCCTTTAATGAATATTTAATTTGCAGTTGAGAGGAATGTGTGTGTCTTTGTACAGTTTGTCAATATTTTCATTTGTACATTTTCTAGAGAAGTCTCTCAGTGATTCAAATGTAAACCGGAACTAAAAATACACTACAAATGGAGGGATATGAAGTGACGTCATTGTGAAAACAGTCTATTAAACACTAGTTAAGCACTTTAATTTCAATTTTAAAACAATAAAATGAAATCAATTTATTAAATTTTAATTTGATTAAAAAAAAGTAAGAAAAACGACCTCAGCAAAAGTCATACTCAAACCCATGTAATGCCGTCAAAACCTGGTCCTTGTTATTATTATTATTACTTGGAAGATGAAGCTACTGTGAATTTGCATTTTGTAATGGACACTCCAAATAATATATAATGACTTGTATTACATTATTTTATATTTACATTATTATAAACATTATTTTTTATTACCATACTGGCAGATACATTTACTTAGGTAAAATACACTTATTTAGACCCCCTTTATACACACAACTAAATATCCGAAATCATTTTCTTACATAGAAATTCCATCTAGATTTTAAAACTTTTAAACATTTGTACTTGAAATGAAAACAAAATACCTAGCTATAAACCTGCTCCTGACCAGGTTAGGGTCACAAAGTAAGTTATCATGGTCACTGACTCTGAGTATAAGTATCTCCCTTTTTGAAACAAGCTTGACTTACCCTGCTTTCTTGTGTTTGACAAACTTTTTATTTTGAGTCTGAGAGTTTCCCTGATTTCAGGGTTAATATATTCCAAGTTTTCACTTAAAGGGATAGTTCACCCAAAAATGAAATTTCTGTTGTAACTTACCCACCTTTTACAAGTTTCAAACCTTTATGAGTTTCTTTCTTCTGTTGAACACAAAAGAAGATATTTTGAGGAAAGCTGAAAGCCTGTAACCACAATTTTTTTGTAATCGTATATGTTTTTCCTATTATGGAAGTCAATGGTTACAGGTTTTCAGCATTCTTCAAAATATCTTCCAGGTTTTAAACACTTAAGAGAGAGTAAATAGTGGGTAAATGTTCATTTTTGGGTTTACTTTCATCATCAACCTGTTTCACCAAGTAGGACATGTCCTTGGATTAACATCTAAGTTGATCCTGGAACAACATTCCCATCAGCCAATCAGAATTGAATGATATGTTTACTGTTTATGTTGGGTTTCAACATGATTGCTATCCAACTATTATTCCACTCAAATTTGGGAAACATTTCCAGTTATGGTTGGGTTTAGGGGTAGGGAATAGATAAGGATTACATTTTTCAACAAAAAAGATGTTCCATGATCAACACAGATGTTACTCTAGGACCGCATTGTACTTTACACAATCATGACATGCCTTTAACCTCCTGTCTAAACCAGGCCCCAGGATTATAACTCACCTGGAACTTGCTAAGGAAGTTCTCATCAAGTTTGTTAGTCGAGGCGGACACTTTAACATAGGCGTTCAGACTCGACAACTGTTTCTCAGAGCACAAAGCCCGGTTCTGACCCAGATCAGCTTCCTTCAGATAAAACTACACAGAGAAGAGAACATAAATATTCACAAGAGTAAGTACATAAGGAGCCGATCAATACCACCATTAATAAATAATTTAAAGGGGACCTATTATGATCCTTTTTACAAGATGTAAAATAAGTCTCTGATGTCCCTAGAGTGTGTGTGTGTGTAAAGTTTACAAAAAATACCCCACAAATAATGCTTTATAACTTTTAGAAACTGACACTTTTAGGCTTTGATCCAAATTGTGCCGTTTTGGTGACTGTCACTTTAAATTCAAATGAGACTGGGCTCTTTTTAGAAGAGGGTGGAGTTACAAATGCCTATGTGCCAAAAAAAAGGACTAACATTCTATGCTATGAGGGGGAGATCATATGTCTTCATACAAATCAGTAACTTCAGTAACATCATCTGACATGATATTAATGTAAAATTATAAACTACTTTATAACTGCATTAAATGCCTCGTTACCTGAGATGACAAATCTCTCCACTCTACTACACCCTCATCCTGAATTGTAACTGTTCTAACTCCAGCCAGGATCACGTTTTTGGCAATCTCCACGCCAAGACCTCGCATTCCAGCAATGAGGACATCAGCCTTTCCCATACGACGCATTGCATCATGGCCAATCACGTAGCTGTTGGTGCCAAAATAATTACCATCATGCATAAATATGATAAACAATTGATTTTTGAATTCTGCATTATTATTATGTGTGAAATAAACAAAAATTTTTTATGAACTTGAAACAAAACTCAAAGCAAATAATAAGCATAACAAAAAAAAACTATGTTTATTTAACTTAGTTAACTTGCTCCTATGTTTTATAGCTTAATTTATTTATTTCCTGCTTTTTTCCATACATGTTTGTGTAAAAACAGAAATGTGTCATGTGACAAATAAATAAATTAAGCAAAAATAATTAAAAAGCCTAATAAATATTCACACAATGTATAATTTGCATCATGCTTATTTAAATAATACATCACAATTTTTCAAAAAACAAATAAACAACTGCAATTTTTAAATTACAATACTTTGAACATCATTTTATTTTACTTTTTTATTTAGTCATATTTGACTCAAATTTTCATTTAAACCAGACATGCTACATTATATAGTACACACTACCTTATAGAAGTCTCGTCGCCTATCCAGGTTTTAGGATCAACAAATGATAACTTGACTTCTAGTTGATCATTTGGTATCTAGATCACGCTTATTTAACCAAAATAAAACATGATAATGCCTTGTTGTTTAATTATTTAATTAGGACTGTAAGGTCTGACTTTGCTTAGACTAAAGTCTTGTCACTTAACAGAAATAATGTACAGTATAGAATATAAAGTCATGGTGCAGTGATAAACAAAATTAATATTGTGTCTTACTCCCATGAGCTTGGAGGACTGCGTCCATACATCTCTGCAATGACTCAATTAACTTTTTAATAAATAGGTCTTCTGCAGTATTAGTGATGATTGGGATGCAGTTCAACTGATGATACATCTGAAAAATCTACCTTCTGACACTTTTCCAAGTAGAAGTCAAGTTATTATTTGTTTCTCTTGCAACTGGGATGAACAATAAGTCTTTTGTCAGCTGGTGTACAGTAAATAGCACGCAAAACATTTCAACTATGCAAAAAACAAGCTCAGTTACTTTCACTTTTTTTATCTCTCTGAAAAAGTACCAGAAAGAAACTATTCTGTATGTTTGGTAACTTACAAGAAATGCATAATTGTAATTCTTTAAAGCAGCCCAACCTCAAAAAGACAACATCACAAGTGACTTACATATTTGTGACTTTACATGTTTGTACAAAATCCTTTTTGTATTAAGCTTAAAAATTCACATGGATCATTGAACAATTGTCTTTTTTTACAAAATGATCGAACTGCAACACAGAAATATGTACATTCAATGCTTGAATTAACTTTTTGAAGTAGCAACAACATATTTTTAGTGAGTAAATGCATTACATTTCTGCAGCTCTTCATTTAAAAATAAGTTTCAAATGACAGAACTTTACACCATTGTGCAGCCATAACTGCTGATAATCAAATTTACAAAGATAACAGACACTGAAATAATAAAAATTAAGCCTTAGGTTACAGATAAACATTATCAATAATATTTTACACTGTACTTACAGCTGTCGAGAATATAACCCCTCATCAATATCTCCTTGCGCCATTTTTCTGTAAGAATATCAATGATATCCTTTACAAACACATTCAGTCAATATGTAATGCCAACACCATGGTATTAACATATTACAGTAGCTACGTTTGAACAGTAATACAATTGTTACGGTGAGAGAGTGGACGTTAGGACCAGTGATACCTGACTGTAAACAATGACATGGATTAAACGTTTTTAAAGATGTATTAGCGGATATTGAAGTCAATATTCAATCAATATTTTCCTTACTATTTAACAGTAACTTACCTTTAAACGGAGCTTGTCGGTTGCTTCCTCCTTTGTCAGAACAGAAAGTAAACTGATTCAGAGAAGAGTGTTTCACTTTCGTTTCTGTTACTGTGTAACCTGAGTTATCGCGCACATTCTGCCATATTGAGCAAGCAAATGCAGTTATTGATTATTTGTTGCATCTCGGAAAGTTTCTTGTTCTTGACGCTGAGATTCCTCAGGTAAACATTAGTCCGCATGAGTTACAGAATCTCCACCACACGAGGGCGCCAAACATCAATGGAGTTAACTGAAAGGAAGTGGGTAGGAGACCCTGCTGGCTCAACAGATAGGTGAACCATTAACTCTCTTTTCATAGAAAAAGTTGTTACATAGTCCCCTGTAATCTCTTATTGGAAGAAATATATAGAGAGATTTGATATAGGAAAATATTATCTTTGCAACAAAAATATTTCCTTTCCAACAAGGACAAAGAAGTGTCTTTTAAATTGATCAACACATTTTATCCAGTAAAACATTTTTTTGAAAAAGTTTCATTCTAAAAATATGTAAAATGTTCACTTTTTCAGATTCATACTGAAGCAATTTTGGAAGCATATTGGCTCATTTATTAATGATAATATACAAGATGTTTCTGTTACTTTTAAATAAATAATTTGTGATTATTATGAATCTGCCTCTATTAAGAGAAATGCTTGGTTTGTTATAAATTTAATTGATTTTCTTTGTAAATAACATATCCACAAATGCAAATTTACTAATACCAAACCATATTTTCCTGTTTTTTTTTTTTGCAAGAATTTAGGTATTAATACATTTAATTTCATTATCTAAAAATAAGAAAGCAAACAGAAGTATTTCATTTTGTAATGACTTTAATTTATGTACTACTATTGATTCTTAAATGTCTTACCCTCAAGTTTGTATCATGTTCTTTATTCTTTTTTTCCTTCTTTTTTCTCTCTCGTATCTTTTTTTCATTGACAATGTAATTCATATTCTGTATTGTAAACAAGTATTGCTACAAACATTTTTTTTTTACAAAAAATAAATAAAAAAATAGGTGAACCATTAAAACTTTGTGAATCTTACAGTATTGCCTCTTTTCTATAATACCCACTGATTGTATTTTGTGACCTTTTATACATCACTGTGACCTTGCTTTAAGAAATATTTAAAGTGATTTAATGTAATTTATATTACACCTGGCATAACCTTTTGTTTCTCTTTTTTTTTTTTCATGTTGTCTATTTAAGTTGTTACAGGATTTATACCTTTTCTGTATATTTTTGTACTTTTGTTGAAGGTTCCAATGAAAAAAAATTAAATAAAAATAAGGTGAACCATTTTTACCAGTCTCTCAAATGGAAGTTTCACCTTGTCATTTGTAGGCTAAAATATTACCCAATGCTTCTTTTAGTGCTAGCCATCCCTGCTGAAAAAAAGCTGGTTAGTTTTAGGTAGTTGACTAGGCTAGTTTTAGATGGGTTTTGGCCACTTCCAGGCTGGTTTTAGATGGGTTTTGGCCACTCCCAGGCTGGTTTTAGATGGGTTTTGGCCACTCCCAGGCTGGTTTTAGATGGGTTTTGGCCACTCCCAGGCTGGTTTTAGATGGGTTTTGGCCACTCCCAGGCTGGTTTTAGATGGGTTTTGGCCACTCCCAGGCTGGTTTTAGATGGGTTTTGGCCACTTCCAGGCTGGTTTTAGATGGGTTTTGGCCACTCCCAGGCTCCCAGTTAGCCAGGCGGGGAGATCACCTGGAATGCTCAGTTAAAACAAGCTTGACCAGCCAAGCTGCTTAGCTGGTCTTGGATAGTTTAAGTTGATGGGTTTTGACTGGTCTCTTAGCCTTACTAGACTAGTCATTCCAAATGGTTTCCCAAGCAAAACTAGCCAGCTAAAACCAGCTTAGGATGATGTAAGCTGTTGTTGTTTTTTGTTTTCCAGAAGGGAGGGTTTTTCACAACTAAATTAAACTTATGAGTTAATCAGTTTTTTTTCACTAATATATTGAAATATTTAGTATATAAATGTATGCAAAAAAGCTTTGACGATCACTTTATGGTAGAATGTAGATATTAAAGCAAGCACTGTTGCAATGGCAAACAAAAAAAAAAAAAAAAAAAAAAAAACAATGTCCATTACAGTGAAACATGTTTTATTTTAATTTATGCAGTAAAGTTTGTGCTCCAAGATCCATCACTGTATTTACCAAAATAATTGTAAACAAATTATTATAAAACTATTTTGTTACTTAACGAGCTTGAAAAATAAATGTTCAGTGAGCAACAATTCTGTTTGTGAAAATTACTTGCCGATGTCAGAATTCCATGAAGTACATATATGACCAAACTGGTTCAGCTAACAGCACCCAACTAGGCTACTCGCAGCCAGTATGCCCATAACAGCATATTTCTGAACACAGTTTTGACATGTTGGGTAAAAATAATTCACAGTAAGGGTACATGATCAATTATTTATTTTTTAATTCAGATATTAGTACATCATTAATCAGGTTCCCCTATTAGTAAAGTGTTAACCAGCGTGTCAAACCTTGAAGCACACCAGTCAGCTGAGAACAGCAAACTTAGACACAATATAAAGTTGAACAAAGGTTGTCTGGTGTGATGGTCTCGATTTCTACTGCAGCATTCAGATGATAGAGTCAGACTTTTTGTTATAATCAACATGAAAGCATGGGACTATCCTGTATAATTAATTTAAGTTATTGGTGTAATGGTGTGGACTCAGTTAATTATATATAGTTAATTACATATATAAAATTGACTGAGTCCAAACCATTACACCAATAACTTGAATTATTTATACAGGATAGTCCCATGCCCATATATTTTCATGTAAATATATACAGTTGAGGTCAGAATTATTAGCCCCCCTGAATTATTATCCCCCTTGTTATTTTCCCCATTGTCTGTTTAACGGAGAGATTTTTTCAACACATTTCTAAACATAATAGCTTTAATAACTCATTTCTAATGACGGATTTATCTTTGCCATGATTACAGTAAATAATATTTGACAAGATATTTTTCAAGACACTTTTATACAGCTTAAAGAGACATTTAAAGGCTTAATTAAGATAACCAGGCAGGTAAGGGTAATCATTGTACATCAATGGTTTGTTCTGTAGACTATCAAAAAAAATGCAGCTTAAAAGGGCTAATAATTTTGACCTTAAAATGTTTGTTAAAAAAATTAAAAACTGCTTTTATTCTGGCTGAAATAAAACAAAAATGACTTTCTTCAGAAGAAAAAATATTATCTGACATACTGTGAAAATTTCCTTGCTCTGTTAAACATCATTTGGAAAATATTTAAAAAAAGAAAAGAAAATTCAAAGGGGGGCTAATAATTCTGACTTCAAATGTAAATAAAAGCATATTTAAGCATCACAGTGCAGCCCCAAAATTAAAAAAAAAAAAACATACAGGAAAATAATTTTAATTTCTTAGCATTGGCCATTAAGAATCCCGTAAGGCTAAAAAAAAAATCTTGCCATATTTATGACGGCACAATCTTTAGAAATATAACTTTACAAGTAAAGACTTCCTTCATTTGCTTAATAAATTTCTGGTCTCGGACTCCATATATCAAAGGACTCAATAATCTTGGCATAATGTTTGTGAACACATAAATACAGAAAGCAATATTAGTTCTCTGTAGAGGAAAAAGTGGTATAATCAGGGTGTACATGAAAGGTGTGACATAAGAAAGCATACAAAGGAGTAACTGAACACCATGCAGCAATATCGTACTGCGCGCTTTACTTGCTGAACCCTTTGAAACGGCCTTTCTGGCAGCGAACAGGACTCTGCAGTATGTGTAGCAGATAATTATCCACACCATTGACATACAGATGACTTGTGAAGCAGTGTTGTGGTCATCGTGGGCTTTTGAGGGGAACATATATGTTGGGTAGCAAGGAACAAATGATCTGAAGAAAGATATGGGTTGGGTTAGAAGTGAAATCATTATATCTACAACAGAACGTATAGCTGCTATACCCCAGAGCAAGCAGAAAAAGACATAGGTTCTTTGGGGTGTGCAGATCTGAGAGTGATGCAGTGGTTTACAGACAGCAATAAAGCGTTCAATGGCCATACCGGCCAGATTCAAAGGAGTGATCATGAAGAACACTTTACCCAGAGACATCAGAATATAACATAGTGAAGCATTTACTACTGGTGCAATGTAGGTCAACACATATATTGCCACTGATGCGCATATCATGAGCATGTCATTGATGACCAGGTGAATGTATAAGATGTATCTGGAGTCCCTTGAAAATACGTGACTGGAGAAGAAAGTCACCACTAACATTCCGTTAATGACATTTACAATCAGAGCAAGAAAAACAATCACAATGTGCTTGGTGATAGCTTCCTGATAGTTATCCACAATCCAGACCGTTGTGTTCATTTCTGTTGAAGAAAACAGACAACTGCACATCATTTATGTGGTTCAATCAGGTATTGAGATTTATCATTTAAAACAAAGGTAAATGTTAGCAATCTCACAAAATGTCAGTATTTGACTTACCTTGGGCATACCTAGACTAAGATGTCTGAAACTCACGAGGTTCAATCAGGCTGCTTTATGTTATGCAAAGGACAGAAACCATGAATATTGAGCATGTTATTCCTAAGGGTAATCTATTATTAGATTGCAAGGCAGCACTGCAGAATATCAGAACAATAACTAGTGTTGGGCAGGCTACTTGAAAAATGTAGTGAGCTAGTCTACTTAAAATGTAGCTAAACTACACTAAAATCAACCCAATGGGAAATGTAGCAAGCTAAGCTAAAAGCTACATGGCAAAAGTAGCTTAGCTACATCTAAGCTGGTTTTACAAATTTCATTTTTAAATCGAAGCAACTTAAATCCAAGTCAATCATATCTTAGTTATAAATAAAACTGTCAATGAAACATATGAGGCAGAATAGTTGAGTTTAGTTATTTACTGTAAATGCTGTACTGAACAGAAACACATTATAGTATGTAACAGCTAAAACAAAAAATCCAATAAAACCGGGTGTGACACATTTAAAATACTATAATAATTTATAGTGAAGGGAAATAATTTGGAATAAGCATTATGTAGTATATATATATATATATATATATATATATATATATATATATATATATATATATATATATATATATACTAAAGTATTTTTCTTTTTTGAGCACAGCATTAGAAATTAAGTTATTGTATCGTAACATGTACTTTTCGAG